TTAATCAAGGTAGACAACTCTTATCGGCCATTTTGATGCCAGGAAATAAACAAAGTAGTAAATTAATCATTTCTTGAAGTATAAACCTTCTTAGTGTGCCTTATATAGTCCTAGAGCCTCAGAATGTCCTATATTATGGTCTTAATTCCTTCATTTACCAGAAAATTATCTAAACAAATAAATTCAGCAAATATGAATGGCTTAGGCAAGTTCAGGAATCCTGGCAGGTAAGTTTTAAGCATTAATGACTGAACAATATTACCTCACTTGTCAATAAATTATGCTAGTTTGATGTTCAAATTGTCATAAAACATATTTTGTTTTCAACTGATATATTCATTACAAAGTCCTGAAAGTAAATTATTTGATAAACATCCTAAGTCCCTTACAATATACAGTGCGGACAAACAAATTTCGATAACTTTATTTGACCTTTTGTGACATCCTCCTTCATTTTGGGCAAGCTAAATCAACTTAACATGAACATCATTTGTTCCAAGTTATATCAAAATCCCGCCATTTATGTACATTTGTAGAAGTAATACTCAAATAATTTGTTATTTGACCTTTGACCCTGAAGTAAGACGTAACCTTTGCCACATACACCTGAATGTTTTCGTGCGCCACTCCGCCTAACTATGGAAAACATTTGTCCCAAGTTATATTTAAATTCCGCCACGCATGTAGACATAAGTTTTGCGCTGATCCTTAAGTATGACCTTACCTCCATCATGGTGAACATTTGTACCAAATCATATTGTAATCCTTCAACGAATGAGCAAGATATAGACCGGACAAAAACCGCTCAGCCGGTGCCAGGGGCGTGAGGGATGATACACTTTTTTATTATCCCTTATGTACAGGCTCAATCAAACCGAGTCTGCAATTTTCATGTAATGTTGCTGTTTTAAATGCTTCCCACTGATCACTTTTTTCCTGATATTGATACATTCATAAGGTCATTGACTTCAAACCACTTGCCCCTCACCGCTGTGGGTTGGAATCCCGACAGGGACTTTGGAATCTGTCTTGTGAGGAAGCTATCCAGCTAGCTTAACTGAACGTCAGTGGTTCTACTCAGATACCCGTTCGTGCCTGAAATAATGCAAGGAAGGGCACCTGAACGTCACGATATGACCTTTACTGTGTTGATGTGACGTAAAAACCCAAAACAAGCAAACAAAAAATTATGTCTATGAAATTCGTTGTTTGTATAAGACCCAAATATATTGTTGTGATTAATTTTAACAATTTTGAAAGCCATAATTGTTCGTGTCAGATATTGTTTTGCTCACAATCATAATGTTATATGACATATGAGTTTAAATCTGAAGGTATTATGTCCATGAAATATGTTGTTTGTTTAAGACCAAAATATATTTTTGAGATTCATTTTTACAATTTTGAAAGCCATTATTGGTCTAGTCTGTTTTTGCATAACACATAACGCTATTGTTAGTATTTATTGTTATTAATAGTGATTTGTCTAAGTGGATGTCGAAGTATGTATGTTAATCCATGCCAGTTCATGTTTGAATGAAACTTTTTGTCCAGATAGAAGATTTCAAACTGTAACTTTTCTGATTTTTATCTTTTACAACAATATTATATTTCCCATTTATGGTGCTCAGAAATACTGCAACATGTGCTGAATAATAGCTATTGTCAAACATTGTTTATATGCTCCCCGAAAAATTTCGGCGGACCATATAGTCATTGGGTTGTCTGTCCGTCTGTCTGTACGTTCATACGAACCTGAATTCGTGTCCAGCCCATAACTTTGTTATTTCAAGTTGGATTTTAAAACTATTTCACAGAAATGCTCACCATATTGAGACGACCTGTCGCCCGCAACATTTGGGTCGCTACCTTGAAGGTCAAGGGTCACACCATGACCTTGAACAAAATCATGTCCTGCCCATAACTTCGTTATTTGAAGTCGGATTTTAAAGCTATTTAAAAAGTAATGATCACCATATTGAGACGATGTGTCGTGCGCAGCATTTGGGTCGTTACCTTGAAGGTCAAGGTCACAGCATGACCTTAAACAAAAATTGTGCCGGCCCATAACTTGGTTATTTGATGTCGGATTTTACAACTATTTCACAGAAATGATCACCATATTGAGACGATGTGTCGCACACACACCATTTTGGGTCAATACCTTGAAGGTCAAGGTCGCAACATGACATTGAAGCAAAATCGTGTCCGGCCCATAAATTCGTTATTTGAAGTCGGATTTTACAACTATTTCACCGAAATGATCACCATATTGAGACGATATGTCACATGCAACATTTGGGTCATTACCTTGAAGGTCTAGGTCACAGCATGACCTTGAAGCAAAAATGTGTACGGCCCATAACGTCGTTATTTAAAGTGGGATTTTACAACTATTTTGGAATTATCACACTTTGAACTTTGTCTGGGACATAACCCTGAAACTTCAAAAGATATACTTTTCTGTATCTAGGATCACCCCGGTGCAAACCGGCTCTTGTTTTAATTGATTATTAAGTAATATGAACAATTCATGATAGCATCATAACTAAAAGAGTGGAAATTTATGAAAGTCAAATATGTATAGAATCAGTTGCTAATAAAATGTGTGTAAAATTTATCTCTTTTTGGTGGAATTAATTTCTTTATTTTACAAATTTATCAAATTTCATTTTATTCTACTGATATGTTTGTAATATTTCTTTAATTTTCTATTGAAAAAATGTGTTAAACCAATATGTATTTGTTTTCTTATAATTCAGCTAGTTTTTATTATTCCAATGTTTGAAAAAATTGTTCGCCAGAACTTTACCAAAATGTTTGCCAAAATATCGCCATAACATATTTGCTGAAACTGGCAAATATGCAAATGAAGTTTGCCGCAGTGTTACCAAAAGCTTCTGGCGAACATCCGCAAACTTACTATGCAAATGAAGTTTGCTGCAAATTTGCCGCAAACTTTTGGCGAACATCTGCAAACTTTTACCATGCAAATGAGGTTTGCGGTAAATTTGCCGCAAACAGAAGCTACCTCCCCCTATAGTTAGCGGCAAGTTTGCCGCTAACCTCATGAGTTGCGGCAAATTTGCCGCAAACCTCATTTGCATGGTAAATAATTGCTGAAAGCAGTTTGCCGCAAACTCACCGCAATGTTTGCGGCAAACTTGCCGAAATGTTCAACAGAGAGCCTTTTTTTTTTTGGTAAGGGTGTACATTTCAAATAAATGTGTTAAACTAATTGTTCTTCTGTTTTTACAAAAAAATTATCTATAAAATTGTACCTGGAAGGCTTATTGTCAACGTCGGTGTTTCTGCTGCAGCACTAACGGTAAGAGTAGATGTTCCAGAGTCATTGTTATCATAAGACGTTGTATAACACTGTATAGTAATAGAGTAAGTGGTTGCAGTCATACACCCGTTACTGGTAGAACACGCTGTACATGATGGACAACTACCGCAGCTTGTGACCGAGCATGCTGACTTGTAGACTGTGTTCCCTTATAACAAATTATTAAATAAGATACTACTTATAAAGTATGTATGTATGTATGTATGTATGTATGTATGTATGTATGTATGTATGTATGTATGTTTGTTTGATGTAGGTATGTGTTAGTGTGTGTGTGCGTGCGTGTGTGTGCATGCATGCATGTATGTGTCACTTGCTGTGATAACTAGCGTTCAAATGATTACAACATTGGCAAATGCATTTTTCCCACGACTCGCATATGCATTTGCACACAATATAAATAAACAAGAAATGCTTGTCGTATTTAAATTATCTATTGTAAATTAATGAAGTTGAAATCGTGAATTCATGAAGAACTCGTGAATGCCTAACAAATTTGTGTTGATGTTTACACTTAATGCAGTAGTATTACTCCCAAAATGTTATTGATATTATTATATAATCCATCAGAACATATCTTTAAATTAGGTCAATACTAAACGTTTTTGTATTTGTGTTTGATTCTTAAGATATTACATAATATGATATATAAAATACATAATATGTATCGTATATATGTTATTAAACTGTTAAACTGTGAACAAATAAACTGTTTACCTGACAGGTAGAGAAGTCCTGGGGCTGTGTTTGAAGAAACTGTACACGTCTCACATGCTACTGTATGAGAATTTGTTCCAGTCTTCACTCCAAGAAAGTATGTATTAGTAGAGGGGTAACACAAGGCAGAAATACTCCACAAGGTCCTTGCACCGTCGTAATTTTCATTGAGGTACTGCGTCCCGGGGTTGTTAAATGATGCCAACTCTGTAAAAAACAATTGTATTCTTATTTTATGATTTTCATCACAATATATATGTTATGTCTATCTGATGAAAAAACAGTATAATGGCATTAGCGCATTTAAATTGTTATATGTCATTTTTGCGTCAATAGATTACATAATACGAATGTGTACATATACAAAATGACCATATCAATGCTGAACGTTTCGTAAGCAAATCAGAAAGAAAAAATACCTTTTCTTCAACCATTTTGGCAAATTTATTGACAACAGACTAAACAGTTTTACAAGTTATAATGCTGAAAAGGCATCGTCTAAATTAGTCATGATTTTTTATTTAAAACAAGAAGAACATCCTGATATTAAAGTAAACTAAATGGCAAAAAAAAGGACAAACCTGTATATTGAAAAAATAAAAAATGTATTAACAGTAACATCAACATTTTCCTTTACAGTGTTGAAACGAAAAATGAAAAAAAAACAGGTATACTAAACGAAACTAAGGTAAGTTCCTTCTTGAGATTCATCTATCATGAAATCTATTTTGGGGAACGGCATGACTAAGTTCGCTTTTTAACTATTTATCTACTAAGTATAGTATTTCTATTCTATTGTATTAACTGAAACAAATGACATTGTGTGACTTTTGAAATTATAGTAACTGCGCAAATCCGTTGAAGTGTCCTGGTTTACTTTAGAGTGGGTGTATAAAACAAGGTATGTCGTGTTCATTCAGTACAAATACTTTAGCTGTTCCTATTTTTAGAAAATACACTTTCTATACTCAGTTCTTATAATATTACGGATTCTATTATATCACAGTATTTACATGGTCTGCGCCTGCAAGGAAAACGAACACTAGATTATGTGTTTTATTTTCTAAACTGCTCATATCATAGGAAGGTACCATTGCATTTGAGTGTTTTATGTATCTTTTCTTATTTGACCAGTTTTGTTTCCAATAGTTACAAATGCATGAGATAGAATATTTGTTGTACACAGGTTGATATGCAGTTGTGTTAAGTTTGGGGAGAAACGTCAGGATGAAAGAATTATCAGCAATGTAAGAAATATTATAAAATGAAGTGTGTTATATATTGATCCATATATTCAAAATATTAATATACCGTAATCGTAACGTGTTTAAAATTCTGTTGTATTTTTAAAATGTGAAATAAAATTTTTAAAAATCAGTGCAATGTAGTTAATTTCTAAAGAGTGGAACAAAAATGAAATAAAAAAGAAACATAAAATAGAAATTTTTAAGATTCAAATATATGTTAATTCAAATGATCATACAAAAGACCAAGTGAAAAAGGGAGAAAAACAACAACAACAACAACAACAACATAGTAACATGGCAGAGCGAAGGGTTCAAACATATAAGTGCAAATCATTAAAAGTTACTGTGACGTTGATTTACCAAGTGAGTTTCTATACGATGGTACACATTTTTTTAAATTAAACTATATATAGTTGTTGACACTTTCAGTCTCAAATAATATGTAAACTTGCCCTTTATTGGACTTTCCCAAGTACCGTTAAGACCAAATTATCATCACAGGACAATATGGACAATACACGTTTAATTTCTATATATATTCGACTTATTCTACTTGAAAAAGAAAAGGAAATGTGATGGGCTAAAAGAACAAACAATAGATTAAACTTGAGCAGCACGCCAAATATGACACTGGTAAGACTAAATACATGTATTTGCAAGTCTTATCATACCTTTACAAAAGTAAGAAGTGGGCCGAAAAGTTGCGATCATGCAGTCAGGCAGACCTTCATCCGTGTGAAAATTCGCTATCAAAAGAGATACCTTGATTTCAGCTACATCTACCCTTCTTACCGTAAATTACAGCAAAACATATACAATGCATACATAGAGACTTTCTTTTTCTTTCTGAATAAAGTAAGTTTTCACCAAATAAGAAAAGAGTTTATGACAGAGCTTTATTTATACATGTATTCTGTATTGTAATTCTCTTCAATCTCCTACGCAGTGACTCCCTTGATCAGTAAAATCTGCCAAGGGAGGTAATCACTGTAAGGAGTTTAAAGTATCTGGTATTTTATCGCGGCAAAATATGGTAACTGATTTAAATCTACTGTAAGCATGCACTTCAGGTCAATGAAAAAGCTAACATACCAAATTTGGAGTCAATCAAATTAATAGTGACCAAGTTATGCTCTGGACAAGCCTATTCAGTAAGAAAATTAACAAAGGGAAATAACTCAAAAATCATGAAGTGCAGATTACAAGTTATTGTGCACTGCAACTCATCTCAATGAGATCATCCCATGAAGCTTCAAGTCAATATAGCGTTTAAAGTGGAGAAGAATTGGCCCGGGCAAAAAAGAAATAAAGTTAACAAATGTCAATAAAAGTACATGGTACCGGTTCTTGTGCACTGCACTTCTTCTCAATGAGATCTATATGAAGTTTCAAGTCAATAGCTTTTATAATTTATGAGAAATGGCCCAGACAAAAATAAAGTATGAAAATTAACAAAGGGCAATAAATAAAAATATAAGAAAAGCAGAGTACCGGTTCTTGTGCACTGCACTTCTTCTTAATGAGATATGCATTTAAATTATCATTCTATAAAGTTTCAAGTCCATAGCGTTTATACTTTATGAGAATGTCTGGACAAAAATGAAATATGAAAATTAACAAAGGCCAATAACTAAAAACAAACAGGAAGTGCAGAGTACCAGTTTTTTTGCATTGCAATTTTTATCAATAAGATCTATTATCCTATGAAGTTTCGAGTACAATAGTTTTTATAATTAATGAGAAATGCCCTGGACAAAAATAAAGAAAAAAAATAACAAAAGGCAATAACTAAAAAAATAAGAAGTGCAAAGTACCGGTTCTTGTGCACTGCACTTATTCTCAATGAGATCTATCATCCTATGAAGGTCCAATAGCTTTTAAACTTTATGAGAAATGGTCCTGACAAAAATGAAATATAAAAATTAAGGAAGGGCAATAACTTAAAAATTAAGAAGTGCAGAGTACCGGTTTTTGTGCACTGCACTTCTTATCAAGGTATCAGCCATTTGCCAAAAAGCTGAGAAACAGTTAGATTAAGTAAATTCCTCTCTGTATCTACCAGACTTATCAAATTTAAATCTTTTATCAGGTCAAACTTCAATTACTGTCCCATAGTGTGGCATTTCTGTAGTAAAGCTAACACTGACAAACTTGAAGAACTCCAGTACAGGGCCTTAAGTATTGTTTTCAGTGATTTCACATCATCATATGAAAGTCTCCTTGATAAGGTTAAACTATACCCACACTCCATTTAAGTAGGTATCGAGACTTTCAAATGCTTACACAATATATCACCAAAATATATTTAAAACTTGGCCAAGTTTAAGACCTCTGTTTACATTTGCAGGTATGATTATACACTAGAAGTGCCTACAGTACGAACCACAAGGTATGGACAGAACTCCTTTCTTTTTGAGGCTTCCCGGGTGTAGAACACCGCCGACGAAAGTAACACCTATATGTCCCTTTTTTCAAATTGCGGACGAGTTAAAGGACGAGTTGACCACGGGACGGATTTAACATGTTAAAGGTACCGAGTAGACCTAGGGACGAGTTGACTCAAAATCTGTTAAATTTACTCTACTTAACTAGATCTATTAAGAAACCTTTTGTAAAAAAAAATAAAAAAGGAACAAGTAGTAATACATTAATAACTATAAAAATGGGACCAATGACAAGAGATCAGAATAACTTGGGACCAGAATGACCAATTTGGGACCGGAATAATTTGAGACCGGAATGACTTGAGGCCGAACCGATTTGCACCGCTTTTAGGTAGTTACTATGACCTTGACCTGTCAAATAGAATGTCAGACATTTCATTTCCAAGACATTTCACAGCAAGACGGTTCATACCTAGACGTTTTACTCCCTTTTTGTCAATTGTATGGACGTTTCACTCCCAATTTTTAGAGATGTTTACTAGGAAAGTTAACAAATTTTATTTTCATTAATATCAAACAGTGTAAAAGGAAATTCAATTTAATGTTTCGTTTTGTTGATTTCAATGGTACTGTTAATACAAATTATTAGAATATTACTTATTTAATTATGGGTTGAGTGATAAGAGGTGTAAATGAAAGACAAATTTCTGAGATATCACTTTTATTATAAGTGAAAAAAAACATAAGAAAATTCTATTTATAGTAAATTAAAAAAATTAATAGAATAACATAGAAAGAACAACATTTTAGACATATTATAGGTATCAGTTTAAAAATTGAAATCACTACCAGTAAAAGTAATTAATATTATTCAAATAATAAAAAATATCAATATATTAAATATATTGACTATATAATGATTATTTTTTGTAAGTCTTAAACAATGAAATGCGAAACATGTGTATAAAATAAATTATTTTTTAAAATTATTTTCTTCATCAATTTATTAAACAGTAGCCATTAAACAAGCTTAAGTAATTGTGGTGTTTTCCATCGCCTAATTAGTTGTATAGACACTGAGACAATCAACTAACAGTTTGACACCACTAAAAAAAGGTAAAGGTCTTGTTTATTATATAGTGTGGGTACCTACTGAAAGGACCAGCCATTTCTGACTTATGAAACACCTAAAGTTTGCTTGCATACTTTATTTCATTGGTTTGAAAATGTTACCAATCGATATATTATATCAAATTTTTTCAGACAACATGTTTTTATAATTATAATATGATTATTATTACGTTTGATTAGGAAAATAAGATATATCGAGTGCTTTCCGGTCCTGCTAAGGTACATGTACTTTACCGGATAGCAATATAGTTTATCAAAGTAATACATGGAAACTTTATTTTATTGATTTGAAAGTGTTACCAATCGATTTATTGTATCAAAATTTTCCAGACAACATGTTTTTATAATTGTAATATGATTATTATAACGATTATTTAGGAATGTTAAATAAATTGAGAATGCTTTCCGGTTTTGTTAAGTATATGTACCGAATAGCACTCGAATTTTCCCTAAAAAAACGTACAACCTTCATTGTATTGAATTGAAAACGTTACCAAGAGATTTATTAGGAAGAAATCTCTCAGACATTATTTTTTTATAAATAATATTACGAATAAAAAAGTTTAAAATAGATATATCGAGTGCTTTCCGGTCCTGCACATTCCATTATTGCTTTCCGGTCCTGTGAAGTAATAGTAATACATCACCGAAAAGCACTGGTCCTCTTACCTCAGACAAACAGATGGTATATAAATATTTAAAATGTATGTACCTTGTCTAATATATTAAGATATAAAGTTCTATGAGATTCCGTATATATCCGTTACAAACATTTCTTTTCATGAGTGCCGTAATAATCTTCATTAAACAAAATTAATTTTTATATCAAAAGAGTGTGTAGTTAATTGCAATTTCTAATTATCTAATTTAATGTGCATGTAAAGGACAGTGTCTAATTAATGCAACTTTGATGTGCAGGTCGGTACTCTCAATTATCATAATTGTGTACAAATTGATTAAATCATCACCTTTTGTGCTACAATATACAAGGTCTTTAATCAGCAAGGATAAGCACGTGTGATAAACAATACAACAACTACTGTCCTCCACTGATGACCACATTGCTTTTCGGTACACATAGTATGGTAAAAATAAAGACATAACTGAACGAAAATTTATAATTTTTTCTTTATTTTACATGATATAAAAATATAATAATAAAAAATATGGTTCGATGCTTTGAATAACTTATTGGTACTTTTTACACATCCTCTTTCTGTCCTTCACACAACCTATAAAATATTAGAAATATGATGCATTGATCTATGGTATGAGCAATATTGAAAAATCGTGTAACTAATCATAATATTTTTAATTGAAATAAGTTCAACTTAATTAATAAATTTATAACACTTTCACATAATTAATATAAAGGATTAGTGTGATTTATATAAATATTCGAGTGCTATTCGGTAAAGTATATGTACTTTAGCATTACCGGAAAGCAATCAATACAACTTTGTAACAACTTTGAAAATCGCGTTATGAAACATAAAATATTTATAAAAACGTCATGATATACAGATCTTCAACTACTAAATAGATTGGTAACACTTGCAAACCAATAAAATAAAGTTTTCATGTATTAATTGGATAAACAATATTGCTATCCGGTAATGTACATGTATCTTAGCAGGACCGGAAAGCACTCGATATATCAGTTTTCCTAAATACTCGTAATAATTATCATTATATATTTATAAAAACATGTTGTCTGAAAGATTTTGATCTAATAAATCGATTGGTAACACTTTCAAACCAATAAAATAAAGTTTTTATGTATTACTTTGATAAACTATATTGCTATTCAGTAAAGTACATGTATCTTAGCAGGACCGGAAAGCACTCGATATATCTTATTTTCCTAAATAAGAGTAAAAATAATCATATATAATTACAAAAACGGGTTGTCTGAAAGATTTTGATCTAATGAATCGATTGGTAACACTTTCAAACCAATAAAATAAATTTTTCATGTATAAGTTTGATAAACAATATTGCTATCCGGTAATGTACATGTATCCAAACAAGACCGGAAAGCACTCGATATATCTATTTTCCGAAATACTCGTAATAATTATCAATATATATTTAAAAAAATGACTTTTCTGAAAGATTTTGATCTAATAAATCGATTGATAACACTTTCAAACCGATTAATTAACGTTTTCATATGTTTTATGAAAAATTTGAGTGCTTTCCGGTATTTCGGTGCTATCCGGTGCTTTCCGGTTTTTCTATGCACCCTGAAATGATAGAACTTTTAAAAGTATTGAGTTTTAATTAAGTCATTGACAAAAAAGTGAAAGTCCCCTTTTTAATTTATCTTTATTAAATTTAAGATCTTTTTTAGTTCAATTCAATATTTTAGGTCAATTTTAGTATATCATAAGTATCAAAATATTTTTGTATAAAAAGGGAGTGAAACGTCTTCAAGACGTTTCATTCCCATTTGGGAGTGAAATGTCTTGGTGTGAACCGTCTTGGTGTGAACTGTCTCAGTAGTGAAACGTCTGTCTACAGTACCTGTCAAATCGTGCATTTGCTGATAATGGCAGAAGAAATAACAAACGCTGCACTTAAAGAGAAGATTTCTCAGTGGATGTCATGGAGTAAGGTGAGTTTAAATAATTTATTGCAATGTAAATTTAGAGTTGCCATTCGATAAATTTATTTGGAAGTTTGTAGACAGGAAAAAAATAACGATTCGTTCTATATATGATTCGACCCATTAATGATTACAGAAATGATTTCCAGCAATTATTCAGTTATAAATAGTTTAATTGTAGTATGTGTATTAAAACATTGCCATTTGAAAATTTTAAATTTAAAATAGGTTTTCATATAAAATATGATTTGAGTATAACATTTTGCTAGTTTTTAATTATTTTTTTGCATATGTTGCAAGTAATCTTCTGTTTTCATTTATAGTCCTACCATAAGTTACTATGACTAGAAGGTTAGCTTCTAAAACCATCTCTATAACATTTTGCTAGTTTTTAATATATGTTTTTTTTTTTGGCAAATAATTTTCTGTTTTCATTTATAGATCTACATGTAGTCTTTATAATACCAATAATTTACTAGGTTAGCTTCTTAAGATACGATTTCGAGACGTTTCGGCCCCAAGACGTATCGGCCCCAAACTACCCAAGACGTTTCGGCCCCGGACGTTTCGGCCCTTTACCAAATCGGCCCCAGAATAAGTACTGTATTTTAAACTGATATATTGTTAGCATTTCAATAAATAATGAATCAATTAATATATATATTTAATCATTTTGTATAAAAACTAGATAATAATAGTAGTAGGGTTCCAAAAGTAATCAATACAAACAGAACAGAACATTAACTTTATTTGAAAAAATATAATACACAAACAAACAATTATTTACAACATATATAGATAATATTTTATTTGAAAGATTAAGAAGCAAGACACAAAACAATACACGAGACAGACATTAAATTATCATCAACAACTATTTAACAGTGACGAGTTTGATGGAAACGAAAACAATAACAAATGAACTATCGGTGCAATATATTAATTTTTTGGGAAATCCTTTCTAAATTAATATATTCAAAACTGACCTACCTGTATCGCATACCTATATCGGACATTTCATAATATTTACACTTAAAATCCGATTGTAAGTATTAAATCACAGTTAATATCCAGCAAATAATTTCTCTAATTTAATTCTATATGTAATGCAATTATTCCAACAATTATACACACAAACACTTTATTTTTTCAGTTTTTCAATGAGATAATAGCAAACCGTTTTTTTAACATATCAAGCAATATACTAAAGTGGGGCCGAAACGTCTCGCGGAAAAGGGCCGAAACGTCCAGGGGCCGATTTTTCGATAGGGGCCGATTTGGTTTGGGGCCGAAACGTCCTGTTTGCTAAGATACTATCTCTATAAGGAAGGTTATACCATCTTTCAACCGAAATGTTAGATTGGCCAGAGAAACTTTATATTTTACACATAAAATGGTGTGCAACAATGGAAAGTTTTGTAAAGTGATATAGTATAATAGTATAATGGATTGCAGTGGATAATTCTTCGAAGCTTCTGATACGTACGCTCTGTTGGAAAACCAGGAAAGAAGAGACAGGAACGCTGCAATGTCACTGGCGCATCACTTCCAGTTGATGTCAGCCACCACTATTCACGACTTCGAAAACCTAGCTAAACGCCGTTTTCCGGTACTTTCTGTACATAGCTCTGGGGAATTCACCTACATTGTAATAGAGTGTAATAGCGAACTCGATGTTTTCGGCCTTTTTTAAAATTAAATTGAAATAAAACAGTTATTTCTTTATAAGATTTAATAATTGAATATCATTGTATGAATAATTCCATACAAAAAAATAAAATAAATACACAAGTTTACACAGAAAATAACCTTATTTATTGTGGAAGATTCCACTACGTCTGTTTAAATTTTATTGATTTTCATTATAAACAATTTATTTTTTACAAAAGTTTGCAATAGATATTAAAGGAATATTGATAATTTTCAAAAACATCATTTTTTTCACCTTAAACGGTAAATAATAATAGAAAAATAGAAATATCATGTAACTGTGTTATGTACTTCATTTGGTGTAATTCCCCAGAGCTAAATCCGCAACGTACCGGAAAACGGTGTTTTAATAGCTAGGTTTTCGAAAAGGTCTATTGGGATTGACGAGCAGTTACCACTACATTCCTCCCCTTCCTATTTGAGAAGTCTGGCCATCCGATCAGACTGTGAGAATCTGACCCTGCACTCAACTTGTGAGGCTACAGACCTACTTCCTGGTTTCAAACCACTACTGGCACTCTACCTGAACGTATTGGTACAATGTCAAGAGAGTGACCGATATGAATCAATCACCCCAGTCTCCGAAGAGACTTAAACGGGCGCCCCCTCTGGAGACATTGAGAGCACTGGCATTGGCAGAGGCGACTTGAAGGGGTTCACTCCAAGTTTCAGAATGTGCCTTTGCTATCTTGGCTGCAACCCAACCAATCATATGTGGTGTGGATAATTACAAGAAGGGGAGTAATGTAGGGTGCATCTGTTTCCAGTAATAACCAAGACTGATCAACCAGGCATAAGGTCTCCTGGTATTTACCTGACCAACAGGATATGGCAGTGAAACCTATGCAAGTGTTAGGTAAAGTACCTATCAACCTCTTTAAATTGGCTGGTGTCCCTGGTAAAGCAGTGCAATTGAATCAACAGTTAACTGAAGGATGTGCAGTAAGCAGGTGAAGCATTATAAGTTAGAATCGCTTCATCACTTCTGTAACTATAATTTAATTTGATAGTGGAAAATTTTGTTTATATAATTATATCGGTGGTTTTGTATTTGGTATCTTATAGTAAGCCTTAGAGTTTTAAATTATTTGTTTTCAGGCTTGTAGCAGGAGTCCAGAGGCAGATAGGGTTGGGGTGTCCAAACACTGATACTGCCACCTGTGGTATTAACAAGTAGCAAATTCCCTTCAAACTTCGTACAAGTAGCAGATAATTATATGATTTTATGTTTTTTCCCATGTGCACATTTCATTATAGAATTGAACTCTGGTATTAATAGCTGACCTACATGTAGATTTTTTTTCAATGTTCACTGTACTGTGATGTACTCAATATTGTATGTAATTTAGAGTATTTTGGATTTATCTAAAATCTATTAATTACCGATATAATACAGAAATTTTTATTGGTTAATCTGTTGGGTCATTTTTTAGGTATTGGTATTTTTCGGGTCACTGATTTAGTTGTATTCCTACGCGTTGTTATAAATTCAGTCATTTTTTCGCGGTCTTTACAGTTCTTAGACACATATCGGTTGATACAGATCTTTTTTCGCCTCTCCCTCCCAACCCATTTTATTTTTTGTTTGCTTATTTTTATAAAGTCAGTAAGACTTTCTTATCTTTGTTTAATTTTTGTTTAAACTCTAAGTCTACTATCAGCTGACAGAACTAATAACTGACAGAGTAAACTATTTGTTCAGAGACTGGTTGGAGTGATTGAACTCTGACACATAGATTATGCTGACACTTGGTTAATTTTTTTTGGTTTTAACTTTTTTTTTTCAACAAACAAGCACAGTCATTCTCACGCAGTTATAAAGGAGGACAGACTGAGATGATCTTATTTCATTTGGTAAACTTTTAAATGTGTTTATGTTGGCCTCAACTTTATGTTACAAAAACTGCTTTAACTAAATCAAAAGCAAACAATTTACCTGTATGATTACTGTTAGCCTCCAATAATTGTACATATGTTCCATGGTATGCATGTAACCTCCATGATGGGGCATCTTCCCTTAAGTTAGCTATCTCAAAGTGAACGTGGAATCCCTGGCTGGGATGTAGATGCATTATGAAGATTTATTGGAACAACAAAGTAATTTTTGCAAAACTGGAACTATTATAAGTGGTTATTGTCAAATAAAATTTAAAAATTATAAACATTTACAATAATATAATATAAATTAACCATATTATTTCAAAAATCAAAACGTTACTTTGTTTGGTGTTGTTGTCAGATGGTTAACAGTACTGATAGATAATGCCTCTGATTAATAATGTAAGGATTGCTAGACGTCTGGCTTCAAACCCCGTCCAAGTCAAGCCGTTGTTTCCTTTAGCAAGAAACTTACACATATTGCTTGGACTTGTTTGTTCATGGAATGGATTAGAGAGTGTGCCTGTAAGCTTATAACTTCCTAACACAATCAAACTGAAATAAACTCTATATGAACTAAATCAGTTTTTGAAGATTTAAGAGCCTATAGTTTGGGGAAAAGGCATTCAAATGCCAATAATTCTCTGTAAAAAAACTGCTCTAAACCAATTTATATTTCAGAATGAGAAAGACAATGCTGAAATAGATGGACTTGTAAAGAGTAGAAATGAAAAAGAACTTGGATGTCGTCTACTGCAACGTATGGAGTTCGGAACGGCAGGTCAGTAAAATATTTAAATTGTTTTTAACTGTATGACATTGTGTTTATTGTGTATGTGCAGGCTTGTAATTTTTTACCAAGAGCCCTAATTACCTTAAAGGGACCAGGGGCCCTCAGGTAAGGAAATTTCAAATTATTTTGAGAAAAAAAGGGGCAAATTTTGTCTACGATTCCCATATTGTTAAGTATTACATATTCTGTTACACAAAAAGCAAATTTATTAAGATTCTGTAGATGGTCTTTTGCTTTATGCAGTTTTTAAAATAATATTTTTATGCCCCAGGGCATATAGTAATTGAACTGTCCATCTGTACAAACACAGAGGTACAGGCCTTGACAAAAATGGTGGTCCGTTGGTCTGAGACCATCAGATTTTGGTAAGGACCACCTTATTTTACAATCAACTGTGCATGCTTGCATCCAAACTTGTCCATGCCATTATCTTCTGTGTGCATGGAGGAATTCTCAAATAACATAAATTGAGTTTTTTAGGCACAAATGTTCATCATGAGGCTTTGTGACCAGGTCATCAGGTCAAGGGTCAAGGTCACCTATGATGATGCAATGTCAAGATTTTGCCTTGGGTATAACATGTATAAAGAGGATATGTTTTGCACATCTCACCTATGTATATAATTATCTTTCTCCTTGATCTGAAGTTTGATCTGAAGTTTGAATTTAAACATTCTTCCCGTGGGCATGTTTGTAAAGTAAAATATCCATTCTGTTAACTTTAAAATATTTCTCCTTGGCCCTGTTATTGTACTATAGTGCATTGAAAATATGGTCAAATTTAATACTATGTCCTCATGCTTTACTAAAAATTTCTAAATAAGTTATATATTTATTTTTAAGGGCTACGAGCAAGGATGGGAGCTGGTTACAATATGATGAATGATTTAACTGTGATACAGGCTACCCAGGTAGGTGATATTCTGTTTATCACAATGATATATTATATACTATGTTTATCTAAATGATATACTATATGAGCGCCGTCACGACAAAATGACCCTTCGGGCAATTTTCTTCGATTTTTTGGTTTCATAATTTTCATAGAAACCAATTATTACAGATGATTTTACTTTTTATTTGACGAAAAAATCTTGAAAAATATCAAAGATATATATTTTTATGTACATAGACCAATGTGTTGCTTCGACGTCGGCGACGACGTTTGTTTAAACGTTGAACGTTTTTAAGAACGTCGTAGTTTATTGCTGAATTGCTTTGTTTTAAGAATGGATTTTGTAAGAATCAATAAAGACAGTAACTCCACGTGAATTTATTTTACAGTCCTATGAAGTTACAAACTTCAAATTCATAAATATTAAAAGATAACAGAAGAAATCACATAAACGGATCAGCACTAATGTGCCCAGTATATTGGTTAATTTATTACTAACGAAATTTTAAAACTTGCAATATATACATCATTCTTATATCAAATAATATCTAGTTTATTGATAACAAATCTAAGGACTAAACACACAGTCAAAGATAATGCATGTATACATTAAAAATTTGTACATTCAAATCTAAATTGTCATTCTTCCCGTAACGGTGGGCACGTCACATCACGGTACGCCTGACGTACAAAAGGTCGTACATTCTTGTACAGATATTGCTGCCTTGCGCGGGAAAGTCCACCCGGTAGCAAAACTGCAGGGAGAATATCTGCTGGTACTGAAGCATTTCTCTTCAGGATTGTGACCCGCTGCTCTACGTCAGTTGAGCGTTCTTTCACGTATATAGCATCCTTCGTAATACGGAAAGCGTGATAGCGCTGTATACCCCGTAATGGTAAAAAGAAACGCGGCAGAAATGTCTTCCAGTCATACCTGTAATATATGTATTACGTAGTTAATAATATGTCAGTCATAAATTACTTGATATTTTACAATGACAAGCAGGTATTAATACACGTACAAGTAATATGCCAGCATTTATGCCGAGGCCGAATTAAGCTCTCTATTAATTTGTTTTGCTGTTTTATTGTACAAACTTATTTAAATGGGGTGTAAATTTTAGAAATTCAAATATTTGTAATAGAATACCAAGTCCAATTCTGACATCCATCCTCCTTGCGGAAGAGCACGGGGAAATTGCTTGAAGCAGACTTTCTCACGACAGATGCCACCTGCGAAATACTTTCGCAGTCCGTGCGCCTATACAGCTTCTTGATATGTCCAAATCCTCCATCCACAAGACACCTGAAATCGAATAAAAAACTATATATCAAAAATGCTTATTATAGTTTATGTTGATTTTATTTTTATTTATATAGGAACATAATGATTGCAAGTAGATTTGTTCTGGAATAATCGATTTGTTCGACAGTGTTTTAATTTTAATCTAATGGCCAGATTGTCTAAAACACGCACGCTGGTGTGCAAGCACATACATATTTAAACACATAAAAAATAGCAAATGCTCGTTTTGTGCCGAACAGAATTATTGTAGAGGACTGTCATAAACTAAAATACATAAGTTTGCATTATACGAGTATAAAATAAAATAAAACTTAAAAACATAAATTACTTTGTATGACCAGGAATTTCCATCAGGAGTGTTATCTCATCATGGAGCCCCATATGAATTCGCCATGCCACATACGCTAACATAAAGCGATTTTTATTCTGCGCTGTAATAAAAAATATATTTTTATTTCACCATTTGAACTAAAACTTATATATTAAAAATTATGCTTTGTAAAATGTAGCATTTTGAATATAAAACGGAATGTTCAATGCTATACTATTATTTAATTAAAAACACAAATACGGAAAAATACTCACAACCACAGTTGTCGGCGTGCATGACGCAAGCTTTCTCTCCAAATCCCTGGTTTTCGAGGCAATGATGTAGCATACTTATAACTGAGTTTGGCCCGTGAGTTCCTGTACCATCAGCACCTGTTAATTTACATTAATTCTAAGTATATTTCATATTTCGACAACACACATTTAAAATGACATTTTATTTATTATATGTTTATATGAAATTAATATTTTACAATACTGAAAAGCAAAATATCTCTATTATAGACAATGATAGAAAAAAAGCTAAATTTATTTACTTATTTATTTATTTATTTATCTATTTATTTACTTATTTATTTACTTATTTATTTAATTATATTTATTATTATTTATTCATTTATTTATTTATTTATTTATTTATTTATTTATTTATTTATTCTTAACATACCAATTGATTCATCCTCGTCTATAAGGTAATTATATTGTTGTGACACAGAATCAACACGGACGCCAAAAATTTGTATTTTCCTGCCAGTAACAAAATACAAAGGGCCCATTTGATTTCACCATAAATAAACTCATTTTTTAACTGAAGCGCTCAAATCATCTGTCAAATTTGACAGCAGACGCAACATCTTAAAAAAAATTAAAAAATCTAGTTTTGCTATTTAAATCTTTGTATTTTTTGTTTTTTAAATCATAAAAAGATACAAAAATACCTGAAAATCATTCTTCTCAGACATGGTGTCTAAATTCCGCCTACAAAACACGGAAAATCATGATCTAGCGACAACAAGGTACTTGAAAAGCCGTCATAAACTGCGAACAATTTCGCGGACTTTTAACCGGTGTTTGAAAAACTTGTCCGAAGGTACAAATTGTCATGACGGCGCCCATATGCTATGCTTATCACAATGACATACTATATGCTATGTTTATCACAGTGATATATACTATGTTTATCTAAATGATATACTTTGTTTATCACAATGACATACTATATGCTATGTTTATCACAGTGATATATTATATACTATGTTTATCTAAATGATATACTATAATACTATGTTTATCACAATGACATACTGTATGCTATGTTTATCACAGTTATATATTATATACTATATTTATCTAAATGATATACTTTGTTTATCACAATGACTAACTATATGCTATGTTTATCACAGTGATAAATACTATGTTTATCACAATGACATACTATATACTTTGTTTATCACAATGACATACTATATGCTATGTTAATCACAGAAATATATTATATACTATGTTTATCAAAATGATATATAGCTTTACTCCAACGATATGAAGAGCTTTTGTACTCGCCCAGGCCTATGTGTGATTGTCAGCATCACACTTAAGTTTTTGCATGCAAGTTTTTTATCTCAAAACTACTGAATGGAATGGGTTGAAATTTCAACACACTTATTCAATGAGAGCATTGTAGAGCTATTTAAACTCATACCTCATTATTATGGCTGTTGGTTTACTATATACTCAAGCATGCTGTCCCACTGGCGGCTCTTGTTAAAAGAATTATATGATTTTGTGTTAATCACATAAGTGTTTTGTTTAATATGATATCACATTGTTTCTATGTCACCATGATATGATGTCTTATTATTTATTTGTCCCTATGACATGATGCATGATGTCACATTATTTCTGTGTCACATAATCCACATTTATCAGGATGAAATGATGTCACATCAGAAATGCCTAAAGATATCTATATGGTTCTTTCTGACCACATTGTCCCAGAAGTTGAATACAAAATTCCCAAAATAAAGACAGCTTATTTTAGATAAAATTTAACTCACTTCATAGTTAAATCAAACAAAACAAAATTTTATAATTCATAAAAAAGTAATTTAAAAAAAAAATTGTATATCATAGTATATATTATTTATTTTTGTATGAAAAAGCAAAGAAATTTGTAATTGTGTATATCTGTCAATTTGTTAAAATAGACTTGTGGGACACTGGGTAGAGAAATTGTTCACTGATTTATATTTCTACTTCTCAACAACAGAGTTGTGGGTTCAAGCCATACTGGAATTACAACCATGTATATTTATATGACACCTGTACTGGGTTAGTCCAGCACTGGTCACACTAGTACTGGATTAGTCCAGCACTGGTCACACTAGTACTGGGTTAGTCCAGCACTGGTCACACTAGTACTGGGTTAGTCCAGCACTGGTCACACTAGTACTGGGTTAGTCCAGCACTGGTCACACTAGTACTGGGTTAGTTCAGAAGTGGTAAAATAAGATTCAAACTTGTATCACAATTGAGGTATAACAAAAATGAACTTTATTTATTTACCTTTGATTTGAATATATGGTTAATAGAAACGTTTTTAAAACAAACTAATCGATCTATTTCAAATTGATTTAGTCTACCAAACCATTATTCATTATTACCATTGGTAATGAACTGCAATAAAATGCTTCAAATATTTGTATTAAATATAAACTTTGGAAAATTGGAGCTTGCATAATTATTACAATACATAATTCATAATTGTATGCAATTGTCACGGTTTAGAACTGTTCACTATTTAGGGAAGAAGGTATGTAAGCAGCCACATAGCAGTTGATCTGCGTAATGGCATTCTGAGGGTCCTGGGTTTGAGTCCCCGTCAGGCTGCACATTTTTCTCACCCTTTGACACAATTAAGTTGCTTTGGCATAACTTTTATTTTGCCATTAGTTAATGTAAGCTTATTGCTAATGATCTATTGAATTCATCAGAATTCAGTTTAAGTTTAGGGCAACATAAATAAAAAATTTGTTCCTCAGAGATTATCATGTATTTGATAGATGAATTATCACGATCTGTGTGAATTTTTCAGGTTCAATTTCAGTATCAGTTTGGTTTATTTCTAGATCGTATGTTATGGTAGCATTAATAAACCTTGTAAAGAAATATCTAAAAAGTGTTAAGTAAATATTTATTATGAGACATAGAATAAACAAAGATGAAAGAAACCCTTTAATCAATGAAAGAAATCCCTTAATCAATTTCAATGACTTTGATTAAAAATCTTATACGAAAGCAAAATGTTTTCCTTATCAAACTTGTCATTCATTTGACCTAATTGCTGGCGGTGAAAATATCCTATGTAATAACATAACAGTTTTTAGTCGGTGCTGATGCCTTTTATATTTTATAGAATTAAATGTAGAATGATGAATGCAAGTTATATTATATTCATGATGTTATTTTTTTTTCATACAGGCATAACATTTAACATATTTGCATTCCAACAGCCAAAAATATGCAAACAATAAATTAAAGTTTAAAATATGCATTAAATGTGTATTTTAAATGTCAGTATGCTTTAGAAATGTTTTGATAGAGTACAACCCCTGAACTGAGTCTCCCTCCATGCAGCAATGATCTCTTTACAACAATATCAATTTTTTCCAGAGGAGTAATTCACTATAAATGTAGAGCAACATTTCACAGCAACAATTAAAACACTTTTTTAATTCTTAAAAGGTGTTGCTCCTGCATTTCATAAATTTCATAATTATACATATGAACCAAGCAGCATATATTGAAGTATAGTACAAAAAAGTCATAGATGTAATTAACTGAGCTGCTGCAATAAAATTTTATATGTATTATTGTAAAAGACATATATGTATGTTTGTTATTTATAGGAAACATGTTTGTTAATTACAAGAAATAAAATAATACAGGTAAAAAAGATAGTATGACACAGTGTTTTAGTAGCTTTTTAGCTTGAACTGAAAGCGATAAACCTTTGCCATCACTATAGAGCCTGGCCAGCCTGCACTTCCATGCAGTCTGACCAGGCTCTATATTGTTTGAAGCTTGATTTTTAGCTTGATTGTTTTGAAGGAAATGTTGATCTATTACAATAGCTGCACATTGTCTTCATGGTTGTGGCCATCACTGTCATGTTGCAAAAACGTTATTGTAGTTCATTATCAAAATATTTTGAAAAGATATCATCATGAAACTTGGCATAGTCTTGCTCATCATGACAAGATGCAGATGTAAAACAAGTGGTATGATTCTGAAAGCTATATTTTTGAAGTAATACCCCTTTTTAAAGGCACATTATGCTCCGGAGACAGAAAAGTATTTCATTCCTTTGAAAGGAAAGATATGAAATTAATAATGTTTATAATTGTTTCTGAAAATGTTATATGCTAGAAATTAGTAACTTTTTGAAAACTGTAACATAATAAAGATAAAAAATAAAGAGCTCTAGGGAAATAAATATGGAAGTGTTTCTGGGTAAAATGGGCCTTTAACAGATGAGCATTAACACCCCATTCAGTGCTCTTGCTGCATGTATTTCAATATCAATATCCCTTAAACTTTCCATGGACTGACAATCCATAGTCAAAGGATTGAAAGTTCATCAGGTTATGGGCTAATATTATAATCAAATTTTATTTTTCTTGTCATCTCAGGGTCTTTTTAAGCAGACATTGTCAAGCTTTCCTGAGGCAAAAGAAATGGGTGTTTGTGTTGGGTTTGATGGAAGATATAACAGTAAGAGGTAGGTATAATGAGCCTTTGTCATGACAAAACCAACATAATGGGTTTGCTACCAGCATGGATCCTGAGTGAGACTAGCCTGTGCATCTGCACAGTCTGATCAGGATCCATGCTGTTGGCTTACAAACCCTATTACAAGTAGAGAAACTGTTAGCGAACAGCATGGATCCTGATCAGACTGCGTGGATGGGCAGGTTGGTCTGGATCCATGCTGGTCGCAAACCCATTATGTTGGTTTTGTCATGACACGGCTCATATTTTCTGCAGCATATCTCCTAAAAATGTTTCCACCAAATTTTTTCTGTCCTGTTGAATGAATATTTCTGAAATATTTTTTTTCCCATAACCTGATTAATTTGCCAGTTAACAATGTTATTCATATAGAGGTGAAATTGTGTCCATCTTGATTAAACTCATGCAGTTATGAAAAAAAGGTTAACATCTTAGCCATTTAGATGCCTTATTTAAGAGAAATTAAATGTTTTTAGTGAATGTTTATACAATGTACATTGTTATTACAAACAAATTTGTTTATTTTCAGATTTGCTCAACTGACAGCTACAATATTCCTACATGCAGGTGGAAAAATTTTTAAAAATTTTAAAATTTTTTTTATAATTTTTGAATTTAAAAAGAGCTTTTTCTAGAATTTAATTCCCCGATGTAACTGTTTATGCATAGTTCTTTGTATTGTTTATTTAAGGCTTCATTGAAATGTCATTTCATTAGGGTCAGTGAGTTTAGTCATATATATCATTTGTTTTATTTAGTCTACCTAATTGTTGATTAAATTTGCCACAGCTTGGTCGGATAAATCACATACAATCTGTTGAATTTCAGAAATGGACTTGCCCAATTTTTAGTTTTGAAATCAAAAAGAATTCTTTATCCCAGAAGTATAGTATACCCATCTTGTTGGAAAACAGATAATACTGTTAGTGGGTTATGTACGCAGCAAAATGTTTACAATATTTGTTGTTGTTTTTTTTTCCAGGCATACTGTACGAGACATTATAAATGTGCATGTGGTGTTATGGTAACTGCCTCACATAATCCTAAAGAAGATAATGGTTATAAGGTAAATATCACACTGTGATAAAATTACAAATACACATTTGTTTTAGAAATAAAAATTAATTATCCCTTGGTTAATTTGTCAGAGGAGTGAATACTCAGATGTTGTATGTCATTTCAATAGTACAAATTTTAATATTCACTTGATATATTTTGATGAAATTCAGTTTGCCTGTAAGCTTGAGCATTATATTAGTTTAGGGAAAATATATTGTTAAAGTTAATAACTGTGGATGTGCCACATACTATAAAATATTTGTGAGATATTAAATTTTGCTAATTTCACAAATTGCAGATTTTAACTTAAATGTTTTTGAATATTACGGTATCATGTAAATTTAACAGGATAGCATAGCAATTTTAAGAATATTTTACCCCACCAGTTAGTTGGAAATGTTGATTTCACAAATATAACTGATTTTACAGCAGATTTGTCAAGTTTTTCAAGAGTTATTGCCCCTTGATAAAAAACAAAACAGAATATATGATCCTCAGTGACAAGGAGAACAGTTGGATTTTTCCTTTGATAAAAATTGTTACAGAAATGTTGTCTGATATATTAAGAATATCCCAAGTATTTTGTGACATTTAAGTGCTTGAAAATGAAATATTTGATGGGGGTATTGTTTTATTAGCTCACTTGTCACAAAATGACAGGGTGAGCTTTTGTGATCGCTTTTCGTCCGGTGTCCGTCGTCCGTCCGTAAACTTTTACTTTAAATGACATCTCCTCATAAACCACCAAGCCATTTTCATCCAAACTTCACAGGAATGTTCCTTTGGTGGTCACCTTTAAAAATTGTTCAAAGAATTTAATTCCATGCAGAACTCTGGTTGCCATGGCAACCGAAAGAAAAAACTTTAAATATCTTCTTTTAAAAAACCCAAAGAGCTAGAGCTTAGATATTTGGCATAAAACATCTTCTAGTGAGTGTCTACCAAGTTTGTTCAAATAAATGCCCTGGGGTCAAAATTGGCCCCGCTCCAGGGGGTCATTGGTTTTCCCTTATATGCATATAGTAAAAACTTAAGAAATCTTCTTTTAAAGAACTCAAAGAGCTAGAGCTAAGATATTTAGCATGAAACATGTTCTAATGAGTGTCTACCAAGTTTGTTCAAATAAAAGCCCTGGGGTCAATATTGGCCCCGCCCCGGGGGTCATTGATTTTCCTTATATGTGTATAGCAAAAACTTAAAAAAATTTCTTTGAAAAAACGAAAATAGCTACAGTTTAGATATTAGGCATGAAACATCTTCTAGTGAGTGTCTACAAAGTTTGTTCAAATAAAAGCCCTAGGGTCAAAGTTGGCCCCGCCCCGGGGTCATTGATTTTCCTTATATGTGTATAGTAAAAACTTAAAAATCTTCTTTGAAAAAACCCAAATAGCTACTGTTTAGATATTAAGCATGAAACATCTTCTACTAAGTGTCTACAAAGTTTGTACAAATAAAAGCCCTGGGGTCAAAACTGGCCCCACCCCAGGGGTGTCATTGTTTTTAACTATGTGTGTATAGTAAAAAATTAAAAAATCTTCTCTTAAAAAACCCAATGAGCTAGAGCTTAGATGTTAAGCATGAAACATCTTCTTATAGGTGTCTACCAAGTTTGTTCAAATAAAAGCCCTTGGGTTAAAATAAGCCCTGCCGGGGGGGAGGTGGGGGTGGAGGAGGTCATTGTTTTTCATTATATATGTATAGTAAAAACTTAACATCATGAAACATCTTCTAATGGGTGTCTTCCAAGTTTGTTCAAATAAAAGCCCTTGGGTTTAAACTGGCCTCGCTCCGGGGGCCTATATACAGGTGAGCGACCTCAGGGCCATCATGGCCCTCTTGTTTAATTAGCTCGGTTGTTGTTGTTTTTGAGGTGTATTTTTCCCCCACAGTTCTGCTAGTGTGGCATTGTGCATAAATGCACATTGAAATAACTAGTAACTTAAACACATGATAATATTTAATAAATCTAAAGGACAACTATTTTATATAAAGATTATATAAAGTTTTCTTCATAATTTTATTATAGGGCAATCATGAAAATACATTAAAATTATTATACATTGTAATCTGATTATTTTTATATATCAGACTCATTTATTTTCAGGTATATTGGTCAAATGGAGCACAAGTAAGTCTCAATAATATGTTTATATTCAATTCAATACTTAATGTAATGCCACACAGTTTAATAATTGACTATTTCTGGTTTCATGATGCTTAAACTACTCATTGGTGATAAAAGTTAACCATATCACTCCATTAAAATAACATTTTATTAATTTCACTTTTCAACCCATTGTTGTGATGAAATGTGTCTAAAGTTGAGAGGTTGTAGATTATTCAAAGTAAAGAAAATAGCTTTTCATGCCCTGAAAAATACAAGTTACTTGTATTTTATAATTGACATGATACTGCACAGTAGCCAGTTGTAACCTGGCCACAACCTTACCTTCAGGAAATAGTTAGGAATTTATTTTGTAACAGCAAACTTATTGAAAACGGTTGGCCACACTCTGAATTTCCATCATTCTTTTTTGTCTAAAACTTGATGAAATAATTTTCGTTTTGTATGATCTTGTTACAGATAGTGTCCCCAGTTGATAAGCACATATCTAAATGTATAATTGAGAATCTCGAGCCATGGCCAAACTCGTGGGATGTCGACTTTACAGACACCAGTCCTCTGAGAATAGATCCGTATGATGATATACACACCAAATATCAGGAAGATGTGAAAAAACTTTGCTATTACAAGTTAGTTAATGACATTTGCTGTCATACTTTTGCTTATTTAGTTAAACTTTTTGTGATTTACCATGACTTTTGGTCATTTAGGTAAACTTTTTGTAATTTACTGGGATCATGGTTAGTTAGTTACCTAAACCTTCTGTAATTTACCATGTGTCACTTTAGTGCAGTAATGGAATATGTTCTTCTAAATTTTATAGGAGTGTATAAGTTATTGCACTAAGATGACGCATGATGATGATTGTTGGTTATTATGATAAACTTTTGGTAAATACAATAAACTTTTGGTGAATAACCTTGTCATTTTCTTTCTGTATTTCCATAAAAATATGAACATAACAAAGGGGCCTCAGTGGCTGAGTGGTTAATTTATTAATCAGAGGTCATTAACTCCAAACCACAGTTTGCCCTTCAACACTGTGGGCTCGAAGCCCAACAGGGACTTTGGAATCTTTCATGTGAGGAAACAATCCCAATAGCTTAATATGGAACGTCGGTGGTTCTACTATGGTGCCTGTGCATGCCTGAAATAATGCACAGAAATGCACCTAAGGTCTTCCTCCAACAGTAAAGTTGGACAGATGCCATATGACCTAAACTGTGTTGGTGCTATGTAAAACCAAAGCAAATAACGAACAGAGGATTAATCTTGCATGTATACTATTTTCAAATGATAGGGCAGAGAATGGTCAGTCCAATGTAAAGTTTACATACACAGCCATGCACGGAGTCGGGTATATTTTCTCGGATAAGTCCGTGCAACAGTTTGGATTTCCTCCACTGATTCCAGTGCAAGAACAGGTAAAAATCATCCTTGTTTGTTTTATAAATTGTTTATCTATTTGGAGCATGCATGTGATTAAGAACTCTTACTTCAAATAATTTTCGCCTAAGTTTAAACACAAGTTTGGCAAAAGTTGGTACAGTTATAATGTTAGCAAAAATGCTTTTAACTAGACAGAGTAGTGCTCAAACCTTTGATCACTGTATCCAGTTGGCCACCAAAACCATTTTCACCATTACTGAGGACCGCCTTCGTGGTCGAGGGGTTAGAGTCGATGATTTCTAATCCAGTAACCTCTCTGGCGTGGGTTCGATCCCCGGGAGATGCTTTGGTAGTTTAGCGCGGAGGAAGGTAGTCTAGTACTGGTGTAACTCTTCAGGAACGATGGTTAGGAAACTACCCACCTATATGACTGAAATACTGTTGGAAAAAGGCGTTAAAATGAAACAAACAAACAAACAAACCATTACTGAGGTAAGACAGAATCCTGCTGTCTGGAAGATAGTCGTTAAAGCTAACTTGGCCAAGTGGTTTGTGTATTGGACTAGTAATCTAAGGGTTGCTGTCTGCTTGGTTTCAAACTCTGTCAGGAGCGAGCGGTTGATTCTTTGAGCAAGAAACTTAACACTCATTGCTCATTACTGGCTCATTACAGGAATGGATTTGAGAGTGTCTTTAAGCTTTAAGCTTCATACACAATCGAAATAAAACAACATTTGTATAAACCTTAAAGCTATTATAGGGAAATTTATTGTTGCATAGTGATGTCAGTTCAACTGAAATATAGTGCACAAAAGGGCACTATATGTTCCTATAAGACTTGAGGATAAAATAAGATTTAGTGATTTTGCTGTCACTAAGTAGCCAACCTAGCTTAAGTACAAACAAGTTTATCAGCTGTACTTTTGTTGTAGTTTGTGTAATTCCATTGTTAAAGTACATGTTAGAAGAATATAACAATTCTATCCAGAACAGGGTTTGATAAAATACTGGAAATGGTAGGTTAAGTGCGCTTCCACAATGGAAATGTATGAAAGTTTGTTTTGGATATTATTACTAAAAATATATAATATGCATATTTTTAGATACTACCAGATCCTGACTTCCCAACAGTAAAATACCCCAATCCAGAAGAAGGAAAAGGGGCCCTGGTAAATATGATTGTTTTTAGTCCCCTACCGGTTTACCGGAGGGGACTTTAGGTTTACCCTCCGTCCGTCTGTCCGTCCGTCTGTCCGTCCGTCAGTCCGTCCGTCCACAAAACTGGATCCCGCGATAACGCAAAAAGTACTGAAAATATTTTAATGAAACTTGATATATGGATAGATGGCAGTATGGAGATTATGCACGTCTTTTTTTTTTCTTCCTATGTTGAAAATTCTGGTTGCTATGGCAACAAATAGACTGAAAATATGGCAAATTTTACACATAACCTGGATCCCGTGATAACGCAAAAAGTACTGAAAAATATTTTTATGAAACTTGATAAATGGATAGATGGCAGTATGGAGATTATGCACGTTTTTTTCTTTTTTTCCTATGCTGAAAATTCTTGTTGCTATGGCAACAAATAGACTGAAAATATGGCAAATTTTACACATAACCTGGATCCAGTGATAACGCAAAAAGTACTGAAAATATTTTTATGAAACTTGACATATGGGTAGATGGCAGTATGGAAATTATGCACATCCTTTTCTTATCTTCCTGTTTTGAAAATTCTGGTTGCTATGGCAACAAATAGACTGAATTTCAAGATTTCTAATTCTAGTTTTTAAGTTTTTTCACTATTATAAAGTTCTTTATTTCTTAAGGTATTTTCTTCAAACTTTAAATGTAAGTTGCTAGTCATCAACCACATCAATATGTGACAAAGTTTACAACTCTAGCACAAAATTTATCAGAATTACCTCCCTTGAACTTAAAATTTTCATGAAAAAAAACATTGTTGTTTTTTTTTTTAATAACTTCTTTTTTTCTGAAAACGTATCTACATCAAACTTCATAATAAATTTCTTATTATCACTCAACATTTGTGAGTGTTCAATACTCTAGCAAGACTATTTTTCCAGAATTATGCCCCTTTTGAACTTAGACTTTTTTTTGAGAAATTAGTAATTTTTACTTCCAACTTCTTAAATCATGATAGGATTTTCTTCAAACTCCCACATCATAATAATATGACAAGGTTTATAAATCTAGCATCCATATTTCCAGAATTATCTCCTCCTTAAACTTTTAATTTTTCCTATTCGTTCTTTTAACTTTCATTTTACTTCAAATTCAAAATAAACATTCAATATTCATACCTTCATTACTAATTATGCCCCCATTTTGAAAAAAAGGGGGTATATTGCTTTGCACTTGTCGGTCCGTCGGTCCGTCGGTCCGTAGACCAAATGGTTTCCGAGTGATAACTAAAGAACCCTTAGGCCTAGGAACTTCAAACTTGGTATGGTGATTGGTCATGACCAGTAGATGACTCCTATTGATTTTGGGGTCAAGGGGTCAAAGGTCAAGGTCACATTGACCTTGAAAGCAAAAACGGTTTCCGATCAATAACTAAAGAACCTTAAGGCCTAGGAACTTCAAACTTGGTATGGTGATTGGTCATGACCAGTAGATGACCCCTATTGATTTTGGGGTCAAGGGGTCAAAGGTCAAGGTCAATTGACCTTGAAAGCAAAAACGGTTTCCGATCAATAACTAAAGAACCTTAAGGCCTAGGAACTTCAAACTTGGTATGGTGATTGGTCATGACCAGTAGATGACCCCTATTGATTTTGGGGTCAAGGGGTCAAAGGTCAAGGTCACATTGACCTTGAAAGCAAAAACGGTTTCCGATCAATAACTAAAGAACCTTAAGCCCTAGGAACTTCAAACTTGGTATGGTGATTGGTCATGACCGGTAGATGACCCCTATTGATTTTGGGGTCAAGGTGTCAAAGGTCAAGGTCACATTGACCTTGAAAGCAAAAACGGTTTCCGATCAATAACTAAAGAACCTTAAGGCCTAGGAACTTCAAACTTGGTATGGTGATTGGTCATGATCAGTAGATGACCCCTATTGATTTTAGGATCAAGGGGTCAAAGGTCAAGGTCACATTGACCTTTTAATTATAAACGGTTTCTGATCAATAACAAAAGAACCCTTAGGCCTAGGAACTTCAAACTTGGTATGGTGATTGGTTATGACCAATCAGATGACCCCTATTGATTTTGGTGTTAAGGGTCAAAGGTCAAGGTCACATTGACCTTGTAGGTAAAAACGGTTTCCGATCAATAATGAAAGAACCCTTAGGCCTAGGGACTTCAAACTTGAGATGGTGATTGGTCATGATCAGCAGATGACCCCTATTGATTTTGGGGTCTAGGGGTCAAAGGTCAAGGTCACATTGACCTCTTAGGTAAAAACGGTTTCCGATCAATAACTAAAGAACCCTTAGGCCTAGGAACTTCAAACTTGGTATGGTGATTGGTCATGACCAGCAGATGACCCCTATTGATTTTGGGGTTAAGGGGTTAAAGGGCAAGGTCACATTGACCTTGTAGGTAAAAATGCTTTCCGATCAATAACTTAAGAACCCTTATGCCTAGGAACTTCAAACTTGGTATGGTGATTGGTCATGACCAGCAGATGACCTATTGATTTTGGGATCAAGGGGTCAAAGGTCAAGGTCACATTGACCTTGTAGGTAAAAACGGTTTCCGATCAATTAACTAAAAACGCTTAGGCCTAGGAACTTCAAACTTTGTGTGATGATTGGTCATGACCAGCAGATGACCCCTTTTGAGTTTTAGGTGAAGGGGTCAAAGGTCAAGGTCACATTGACCTTTTAAGTAAAAACGGTTTCTGATCAATAACTCAAGAACGCTTAGGCCTAGGAACTTCAAAACTTGGTATGGTGATTTGTCATGACCAGCAGATTACTCCTATTGATTTTGGGATCAAGGGGTCAAAGGTCAAGGTCACAATGACCTTGTAAGTAAAAACGGTTTCTGATCAATAACTAAAGAACGCTTTGGCCTAGAAACTTCAAACTTGGCATGGTGATTGGTCATGACCAGCAGATGACCCCTATTGATTTTGGGGTCAAGGGGTCAAAGGTCAAGGTCACATTGACCTTGTAGGTAAAAACGGTTTCTGATCAATTTACTAAAACGCCTAGGCCTAGGAACTTCAAACTTTGTATGATGATTGGTCGTGACCAGCAGATGACCCCTATTGAGTTTTGGGTCAAGGGGTCAAAGGTCAAGGTCATGACCAGTAGATACTTTATAACCCTTATTAATTGTTTGATCACTGGGTCAGAAGTCATGCATAATAACCTTATCACATGACTAATTGGCTGCTGATAGGGGGCATACATGTTTTACAAACATATCTTGTTGTTCTTTGTTACACTCACATCATGTATGACATTGTTATCTCCTTTTTTTTGGCCGGGTTGCACTGGTGCAAATCCGGGTTATAGTATGGTGAATGTTGGGCGGCGGGCGGGCGGCGCGTCCGGGCGGCGGGCGGGCGGGAAAAAAAACTTTCGTAACAGTTTTTTCAGCAACTACTTATCACAGCCTCTTGATATTTGGCATACAGCATTGACACATGGTCCCATACTGTGGGATTTGATTTCAGGTCTGTCGCTCATCCACTTCCTGTTTATCCACTTAGTTAAATTAGTTAGATTTTTTGACATTAATGGTCAATGGTAGGAAATTTTCGTAACAGTTTTCTCAGCAACTACTTATCACAGCCTCTTGATATTTGGCATACAGCATTGACACATGGTCCCATACCGTGGGATTTGATTTCAGGTCTGTGGCTCATCCACTTCCTGTTTATCCACTTAGTTAAATTAGTTAGATTTTTCGACATTAATGGTCAATGGTAGGAAATTTTCGTAACAGTTTCTCAGCAACTACTTATCACAGCCTCTTGATATTTGGCATACAGCATTGACACATGGTCCCATACCGTGGGATTTGATTTCAGGTCTGTCGCTCATCCACTTCCTGTTTATCCACTTAGTTAAATTAGTTAGATGTTTTGACATTAATGGTCAATGGTAGGAAATTTTCGTAACAGTTTTCTCAGCAACTACTTATCACAGTCTCTTGATATTTGGCATACAGCATTGACACATGGTCCCATACCGTAGGATTTGATTTCAGGTCTGTCGCTCATCCACTTCCTGTTTAGCGACTTAGTTAAATTTTTGACATCACTGGTCATTGGTAGGAAATTTTCGTAACAGTTTTTTTCAGCAACTACTTATCACAGCCTCTTGATATTGGCATACAGCATTGACACATTGTCCCATACCGTGGGATTTGATTTCAGGTCTGTCGCTCATCCACTTCCTGTTTATCCACTTAGTTAAATTAGTTAGATTTTTCGACATTAATGGTCAATGCTAGGAAATTTATGTAACAGTTTTCTCAGCAACTACTTATCACAGTCTCTTGATATTTTGGCATACAGCATTGACACATGGTCCCATACCGTGGGATTTGATATCAGGTCTGTCGCTCATCCACTTCCTGTTTATCCACTTAGTTAAATTAGTTAGATTTTTCGACATTAATGGTCAATGGTAGGAAATTTTCGTAACAGTTTTCTCAGCAACTACTTATCAACAGTCTCTTGATATTTGGCATACAGCATTGACACATGGTCCCATACCGTGGGATTTGATTTCAGGTCTGTCGCTCATCCACTTCCTGTTTATTCACTTAGTTAAATTAGTTAGATTTTTTGACATTAATGGTCAATGGTAGGAAATTTTCGTAACAGTTTTCTCAGCAACTACTTATCACAGCCTCTTGATATTTGGCATAAAGCATTGACACATGGTCCCATACTGTGGGATTTGATTTCAGGTCTGTCGCTCATCCACTTCCTGTTTATCCACTTAGTTAAATTAGTTAGATTTTTCGACATTAATGGTCAATGCTAGGAAATTTATGTAACAGTTTTCTCAGCAACTACTTATCACAGTCTCTTGATATTTGGCATACAGCATTGACACATTGTCCCATACCGTTGGATTTGATTTCAGGTCTGTCGCTCATCCACTTCCTGTTTATCCACTTAATTAAATTAGTTAGATTTTTTGACATTAATGGTCAATGGTAGGAAATTTTCGTAACAGTTTTCTCAGCAACTACTTATCACAGCCTCTTGATATTTGGCATACAGCATTGACACATGGTCCCATACCGTGGGATTTGATTTCAGGTCTGTCGCTCATCCACTTCCTGTTTATCCACTTAGTTAAATTAGTTAGATTTTTTGACATTAATGGTCAATGGTAGGAAATTTTCGTAACAGTTTTTCTCAGCAACTACTTATCACAGCCTCTTGATATTTGGCATACAGCATTAACACATGGTCCCATACTGTGGGATTCGAATTAGGTGTGTAGCTAATCCACTTCCTGTTTACCTACTGAATTAAATTTTCGACATTAATAGGTCAATTGAAAAATTTTTCTGTAACATCACAGCCTCATGATATTTTGTATACATATGCAACCCGGCCTTTTCTGTCTTTGACCCATTTTTAGCTCGACTTTTTTTTTTGAAAAAAAAATAGAGGTATTGCTACAGTCAGGTCGGCGTTGCCGTTGCCGTTGCCGTTGCCGTTGCCGTCCGAAAACTTGTACCTGGATCATAACTTTTTTATTTCTTTGTGTATTGTCTTCATACTTGGCCACAACAACCCTTGGGACAAGACCTTTCAGTAGACCACACTAACCTTGACCTTCATCCATAAATGACCTTGACCTTCAAGGTTAAAAGTCCAATTTTTGCTTGTTCATGCTGTTATTGGCTGTAACTTTGTTATTTTTTGAATGGATTGTCTTCAAACTAGAACATAATAATCTTTAAGGATATCCCTTAAAAATAACCAGCCAGACCTTGACCTTCACTCATAAATGACCTTGACTTTGAAGGTCAAATTATTGAAATTTTTCATTTTTTTTTGGCTTTTATTGGCTGTAAGTTTGTTTATTTTTGAATGGATTGTCCTGAAACTTGAACATAATAATCTTCAAAGATTACTGTTAAAGATATACCGGAAGACCTTGACCTTCACACATTAATGACATTGTCTTTGAAGGTCAAATTATTGAAATTTTCATTGTTTTGGCGGTCACTGACTGTAACTTTGCTATTATTGAAGGGATCAACTTCATATTATTAGAGAACATTCTTAAGGACCAGACCTTGTTGTTTATCAAACCCAACTTTGCTTGGGCTCTTAAATGACCTTGACCTTGAAGGTTAAATTACTGAATTTTCTCAGATTTGTGCAGTAAATGACCATATTTAAATATTTTATTGGTGTGTGTGTGTCTATATATATATATTTACAACAACAACAACAATAACTAAAATTGTGTCATTGTTTCTATTTATAGAATTGCGTCATTGTTTCTATTTATAGAATTGCGTCATTGTTTCTATTTAGAGAAATTGGGTCATTGTTTTTTTTGGGTTTTTTTTATAGAAATGCGTCATTGTTTCTATTTTTAGAGATTGCATCATTTTTTCTATTTTTTAGAAATTGCATCATAATTTCTATTTTTAGAAATTGCATCATTTTTTTCTATTTTTAGATATTGCGTCATAATTTCTATTTTTAGTATTTTTAGAGATTGCATCATTTTTTCTATTTTTAGAAATTGTGTCATAATTTCTATTTTTAGAAATTGCGTCATAATTTCTATTTTTTAGAAATTGCGTCATTGGTGCTATTTTTAGATATTGCGTCATTTTTTCTATTTTTAGAAATTGCGTCATAATTTCTATTTTTAGTATTTTTAGAGATTGCATCATTTTTTCTATTTTTAGAAAATTGCGTCATAATTTCTATTTTTAGAAATTGCATCATTGGTGCTATTTTTAGAAACTGTGTCATAATTTCTATTTTTATAAATTGCGTCGTAATTCTTTTTTTAGAAATTGCGTCATTGTGCTATTTTTAGATATTGCGTCATTTTTTCTATTTTTAGAAATTGCGTCATAATTTCTATTTTTAGTATTTTTAGAGATTGCATCATTTTTGCTATTTTTAGAAATTGCGTCATAATTTCTGTTTTTAGAAATTGCATCATTGGTGCTATTTTTAGAATTTGCGTCATTGTTGCTATTTTTAGAAAATGCGTCATTGTTTCTAATTTTTTAGAGATTGTGTCATTTTTTCTATTTTTAGAAATTGCGTCATAATTTCTATTTTTAGAAAATTGCGTCATAATTTCTATTTTTAGAAATTGCGTCATTTTTTCTATTTTTAGAAATTGCGTCATTTTTTCTATTTTTAGAAATTGCGTCATAATTTCTATTTTTAGAAATTGCGTCATTGGTGCTATTTTTAGAAATTGCGTCATTTTTTCTATTTTTAGAAATTGCGTCATAATTTCTATTTTTAGAAATTGCGTCATTGGTGCTATTTTTAGAAATTGCGTCATTTTTTCTATTTTTAGAAATTGCGTCATAATTTCTATTTTTAGAAATTGCGTCATTTTTTCTATTTTTTGAAATTGCGTCATTGGTGCTATTTTTAGAAATTGCATCATTTTTTAGAAATTGCGTCATAATTTCTATTTTTAGAATTGCGTCATAATTTCTATTTTTAGAAATTGCGTCATTGGTGCTATTTTTAGAAATTGCGTCATTTTTTTACTTTTAGAAATTGCGTCATAATTTCTATTTTTAGATATTGCGTCATAATTTCTATTTTAGTATATCTAGAAATTGCGTCATTTTTTTCTTTTTTTAGAAATTGCTTCATTTTTTCTATTTTTAGAAATTGCGTCAATTTTTCTATTTTTAGAAATTGCATCATTGTTGCTATTTTTAGAAATTGCATCACTTTTTTATTTTTAGAAATTATGTCATTTTTTTGTATTTTTAGAAATTGCGTCATTTTTTCTATATTGAGAAATTGCGTCATGTTGCTATTTTAAGAAATTGCGTACTGTTGCTATTTTTAGAAATATGCTTAATGTTTCTATTCATATATATACAAAATATATAAAGAAAACTAATGTGACAAGACAGACAAACTAAATTTATAAAAAGGAAACGTTAATATATGTTCAAACCTTTCTATGTTTGCGTTTAGAAAAAGTAAAAAGTCGAGCGTTGCCCCCGCCCGGCGGTGGCTCTTGTTAAATTTTGCTTTTAAAAATGTTATATTTTATAACAGGGATGTTTAAAAAATAACTTTAGAGTGTCCTTCAGTCCGTCTGTCTGTCTGTACATAAAAACTGTTCACTGTGATCACTTTTAAAGAACTTTTTCAACAAATTTACTTAAAATAGAGACATAAGTGAATGGCCAATGGCCCTTCAGAATGTTGCTTGGGCTCTTACCGGTAGGGGACTTATGGATTGCTTGCAATACTATGATAATTGCTTGTTTTTTAAAGTTTATCTCATTAACAAATGTGCCCTACACTGCATACATAGGCATTAATTATCAGGCTGAATATCTGAGTGGTTTATATTTTGAATATGTGAAACTTCAGTGTTTATTATCCATCTGAAATAAGCTAACTGCCAAAGATTAAATTTATTTATTGTTAGTTTAATTGTATACAACAGAGACAACTTGCATTCCTGTCCGCTTTTGAGACTAACAAGTTTCTGGTGTGAGATGAAGAATCATGTATTGCTTGAACCCAAAACCTTTTAATTGAGAGGCAGACACCTTAACAGTTGGACTACCGTTTTAGAAGATAAGATTATCAACTGTCATTGAATGATTTCTTACACGTTTAATGATGAAAATTTACCCTTTTAGCATCACCATAAAATTTTGTATAGTTATTTTTTACCTATACTGAAAGACTTTTATTGTGGGTTTCAAAGATTGTCATTTAGATGCAATAACAATATAATTATACATTTGCTCCATGTCTCATATTTTAACAAGTATTAACTACACAAACTATCAATTTAAACCCTTTCAATGAATATTTGTTACAGGAATTACATGGAATAATATCTAATAGCGATATCTTATAATAATGGAATGATCTATTAAAATGAATACCCAATCATTTATATTATAGTATTTACGGTAATAAATACATGTATATGGTATTTTACGGTAATAAATTATGCTGTAATTATCAGGTGTTATCTATGAAAACTGCTGACAATGCTGGTAGTAAAGTTATACTTGCAAACGACCCTGATGCTGATCGACTAGCTCTAGCAGAAAATGATGGGTAATTTGTTAACATTCTTACTTGTAAAAAAAAATGTGGCCTTTTTTTTCTGAAGAGGGCAAAAATATTTGTAAGTGCGCAATACATGCATTGATAGTAATATTTTGTGAGAGGATCTTTACACAATATTCGTATAAAACAAACACTGGTGCATAGAAAGTAGGTGAAGGAGACCTCTTTATAAAATTTGGCAATGATCAATCTTGTTTACTTATTGCCAGTATAAAAAATTTATGTCAATGTCTGTTGCCAGTATAAAAAAATTAACATAAAAAAGTAAACAATATTATACAGTTTGAGGATAAAATGTTACAGGAATAGGTTGATATTCTCTTGTTTGCCTGTTGCCAGTATAAAAAAATTAACATAAAAAATATACAATATTATACAGGATAAGAAGCTTACATAGGTTATAGATATAGGTGACTGACTGTATCCTTGAGAAATGGAAAAAAAGGTGTTCTTTAAAAGATTTCTCAATCACAAGAAGATAAGCTGTAGTAGTCTTTTATCACATGTTACAGATATAATAAACTGTTGTGTTCGCAAAATATTTATTGATGCATTTACATTTATTTTTCCAATATTCTTTTTGTTTTGAAACTTTTATTGTTTCTGGTGGATGTAATGCCTCCATTTATTTACTGACATTTATCTTAGATACAGTGTAACTTCCGAAAACCGAACACCCATGGGACTTGTAAAAAAGTTCGGATTTCAGAGGTTTCCGGAATTCAGAGGTTTATGATAATGTGGAAAAGACTAAGCCACTTTATATCACTAAATGTCAAGGAAGATGTGGCCATTACTGTAGTATCATATATGATTTTTTTAATCAAGATAAAGATGTGCATGAAAAGAATACATTTTTATCTTACCTGCAAATGCTAGTTAATTAATTATTACATAAAATGCAATAAAATCCCTAAAGACGTTTGATGCATACATTGTCCAATTAATTGTCATTTAATCGCTAATAAACACTTCCAATTAACTGACCGCCGTAAATTACTTTGATTAACCGCATTACTTGAAACATACCATTTCACAGTTTGTGATTTTGACGCGTGTCAAATTACACTATCACCGCTAATTTAAGTAAACAATCGATAGGGAGATTAAATCTTCCTGCAGGGTAAAAATTCTCGTTTTACAATGTATTTCACACCTTTGGATATTTCCGGTTTTTGGAGGTAAAATTGCATTGATTTGACTCTAATTTTACGAAAATATCGTCCGGAATTCAGAATTTAGAAGTTCCGGAATTCAGAAGTATTATCTTAATAGAAAATAGAAGGGAAAAAATCGGGACGGAAAAAAATGTTCGGTTTTTAGAAGTTTCCGGATTTCAGAAGTTCCGGAATTCGGAAGTTACACTGTATTTCATATGTAGGTATCTCATCAGGCATTGACTATAACCATGATACCTTTTACTAGGTGTGACAGCTACTTATTATGTGGTATTTGAGGTCACTAGGGTTAAATGACATTGAGGCTAAATTAGATTTTACTACTTTTTTATAGGACCTTCATTTTTTGACTCATTATCTATGGTAATGCCTTGCTTGAAACTTGAGACTTTTAAAAGGTTTTTGGTTGATTGGGTTATTGTCGTTCAGGCTGAAATACCTAGTGGTTTGCATAATTTATGTACATAAGGTTCTGAAGAATATTAGGTAACTGTAACTGCTTCTTTGATGCTTCAGCATCTTATTCATACAAGATTATGCATAACCACTTATACCTCACCACTGAGGGTTTGAATCCTGTCAAGGACTTTGGATTCTTTCATGTGAGGAAGCTGTCTTGCTAGGTTAAAGATTGTTGATAGTGCAACTTAGGTGACCATTCATTCCTGAAATAATGCACGGAAAGGCACCTGAGGTCTTTCTTCACTAGTAAAGCTGGAATGTTGCGATATGTCCCATACTGTATTGGTGTGACATAAAAAAACGAACCAAGCAACTGTATTACATTTCAGTGAGGAGTGGACAATATTTACAGGGAATGAGATAGGAGCTCTGTTAGGCTGGTGGTCTTGGTTTGCTTTCAGACAAAAACATCCCAATGTCCCTGGTAAGTCTATTGTTACCATAGATATTTATTTGTTTATTAGACTTACCCAATCCTAATCTTTTTTAGAAAAAAGTTAAAGATTTTTATGCCTTTGTCGTTATCATAAGTGCAATATGGAGAGAATAAGGTCTACAGTTCAACGGACCTTGAGTTCAAGCCCTGGGCATAGAACAGCACATGTGTTTCTGTGAATAATTTATTAATAAACGTTTCAAATGAAAAAGTAAAATTAAATCAAGATACCTTAGCTTTTTAGTTTGTTTTCTTTAACTAAAATGAAATGTCAATTATGTAATAAATTAATATATTTACAGCACAAGATTGTTACATGTTGGCCAGCACTGTGTCCTCTAAAATTTTGCAGACAATGGCTAAAACAGAAGGCTTCAATTTTGAGGTAAGCAATAATTGATAGTTTTTGAATATCCCTAAAATCATAAAAGAGTGAAATACACAAATGTAGATATTAAAAAAAAAAAAAAAATGTGAAAAATCTTGATTTTTCTGTCTTTAGATTTTTAAATGCTTTTAAACAAAGAGTAAAAAATAAATCCTGTGGAAGTATGTTTTTGCATTTGCCAAAAAAAATTTACACTTTGTTTTAAAGCATTTTACCCTGATTTGTGCTTTCTGTAAATATTGATTTAAGTATGTCAAATTTCCAAATATAGACAAAGTAAGATCCTTAATATTGTTATATAGCAAACCAGAGTTAGGAGTTGGGATTGCAAAGGATAATAATGATGAGAATTACATGTAGTTCTTGTTAGCTTATAGGTATTTAATCAAACATGTATTTCATTTAAAATTATATACCATCAGCAACTATAGATTTGCATGTACATGTTTTATGCTGAAAAGAACTTGGCCTCAATCATCTTTCCTGTTTCGGCACCATATGACGTAAACTGTGTTTTGGTGCACTGTAAAACCAAACAAAACAAAACATTACCAATCAAACTTCTGTGTGTATTTCTCATTCAGGAAACTTTGACTGGTTTTAAATGGATGGGTAACAGAAGTGATTCCTTGTTGAAAGAAGGGAAAACAGTTCTGTTTGCGTTCGAGGAGGCGATTGGTTACATGTGTGGATCAACGGTGTTGGATAAAGATGGCGTGTCAGCCGCAGCAGTCAGTGCAGAGATGGCAGCATACCTGTACAGAAACAACAGTACATTGAAGAAAAAACTCACAGACATTTATAAGCAGTAATTATTATTTTCTTGATAGATAAGAGGATATTGAATGAGTGTAAGTTTGATACTGAATTTATTGGACAAGTTGAATAAAATTATATTATGCCAGCCTCTGGCAAGCATAATATTTCATTATTCAACGAGTTCAATAAATTCAGTATCAAAGTTACACAAATTAAATATTTTATTTATCACATACCTTAAAATAAAGACCGTTTGAAGTGAAAAAGAACCATTTTCCAATGACTCGCCTATAGTATAACACTTACATTTAGCGCGTCTTAACGCTTTGTTCGTATTATGAAAATGATGTCACATCAAAATATATGCACGGCCGTGTAATACCATTTTAAAGGAGTCGCAAAAACGAAATGGGTATATGATAAAAATATTTACATTATTCAGAGTACTACAAAATCATTAATATTCGTAGGTTTCTAATGTTTGTGGTTTTCGTTATAGGTTAATCTTATATACATTGTAGGTTAATCTAGACCTATATTAAAATGAAACATGAATCTTTGAGAACTATTACAGTCCCTTCATGTCATAAAATCTCAGTTGAATCCCTTTGAGCACAGGTATTTAATTTTTTTTGTGAAAAGTGATTGTTTTTGTGTGGACTATTATGTACATATGTATGCATTGGTGAAGAATGAAAATTAAGTTTTAAATTTTGTCTTATTTTTCAGTTATGGACACCATATCTCAAGTAATTCCTACTACATCTGTCATGATCCAGAAACTATTAAAAGAATGTTTGATGAGATTAGAAACTACAACAATACTGGCAAGGTGAGACTGTGTATTAATGATGTTCTTTGTTGTTAGTTATAGCTTAGACTTGTTTTTTTTTTAATAATGGGGAACCATTCTATGTTCTTTCTGTTGTTTTGGTATTTATTGTCATGACTCATTGACTAAAGAGAGGAAGGTATCCGTTTAGCTCTGAGGAATGTTGATGGCTGATATTCAAGTGTATGTCATCTTGTACCTGAAATAATGCATAGAAGCAGAATTCAACATTTAAACATGAAATTGTGAAATTTGTCAGATCTGTTAATTGGGCATTTATCATAATCTTTTTGAAATGACAACTAGATATGTAAGACTTATTATCAAACTTTTAATTTGATTGTTGCTGATGTTATGCCATCTTTCAAAACATTGTGAAAGTCAATAATAATATTCTATAAGCTAACAAAAGTTATTAAAAATCGATTTTTAATATAAGATGTTTTCAGATTTTATTAAATGCAAGTTTTTTAAGATCAAAAATTATGTAGCAAGCCAAACCTGAGATTAAAGACCATCCAAGGGGAATGCAGAAATGTCCTTTATAGACAAGAGGTCTTTTTTTTTGGAGGGTTTTCTTTTATAATCAATGACGGTTTATCAAAGAGTGATCTTTATGTTGTGATTGTCTTCAAAACAGGTTTGACTGTAAACAACAGCATACATTGTATGTAGCCTTATTAGCTGGTACAGTCAAATGTGAATTAAGCGACCGCGCAAGGCAAACACCAAAAATGTAAAAAAAATTCCGACTGACCTTGCAAAGGCCTTTCTTTATTATAACTACCACCCTGAAGTAGAGTTTTTCATTTTATGCTAAGAATGTATCATAAATGTTGGCATCTTTTACAGTACCCAGACAGCTGCGGATGTTATAAAATCAAGCATGTTAGAGATCTTACCGTAGGCTTTGATAACAGTCAACCAGATAACAAACCTGTGAGTGTAAACTGATCCTTACTTTTAACGCTTTAGGCCGCTTTAGTGGCAGTTATGAAAATTATCCTATTTGGCTATAATAAAGCCAGGTCAGTTTGCATATTTGTTCAATAGGATCAAGACTTATTCTGTAAGCTTCTTTATAAAGTATTTCACGTATTTGATACGGAAATCTCCAAAACTATTTATGGACTGTCTTAGATTCAGAGCAGGGCAAGGTCATAATACACTGTCTTGGGGGTTTGTCGGGGTGGGGGATATACATATTATTGATTATCACTGGGTTCTATGTATCAACACAAACCTTTATTTACCTTCAAACTGTTGTATTTCTTAAATGGATTAGTGAAACTTCAATTTTTTTGACTGTCCATGAGCAATTTTTATTTGTTTGGGTCATCAGACCAAACAAATAATGGTAGCGAAATTTCAGAGTCTAATGTTGTTAATTGCAAATGCCAAAAGTAGTCCACTTTTTTGAAGCAGTTACTTCCCTTTATATGTAACACTAACGCCGAAAAATTCAGGGGAGATCACTGCGTAAGATGGTCAAAGACAGGCACATCTATATTCAAGCAATATAATTCCCGAATGGTCGAATATTTCTAATATTGTTTTATTGTATTTTCTGATCGAAAATAAGGAAATACAAAGCGGACATTCAATTTCTGACACAGAAGTTTATGACAAACCTAACAACAAGTAGTTCTCAAAACAGTTTTAAACTAGCGATTTAAAAGAAAGAAATATTTTTATTTTGTTACAAGTATCCAACAATTTACAACGCATTAAAAGTTTAAAAATAGCGTTGGCTTATAGAATTGTCAATAAATGCACAATCACAAATTACGCGGATGAATATGATTTTATCAATGATTGAAAATACTATTTTTAGCGATGTTGATTACCGAATACTACACAAACCAAGTAGTGGAATATATAGATTCTACATGTCGGACTGTTTGGGCGAGAAGATTTGCTAAATTATTTACTTCAATTTTAAACAACAGGTTTATCCTGAACAAAATACAGTAAAAACTCTGAAAACCGGACCCTGTGCGGACTTGACCAAAAGTCCGGTTTTCAGAGGATTCCGGTTTTCAGAGGTTTTATACATTCATTGATAATTATGATGTGTTTGAACAATGACTTTGTTCAATCATTTTGTATTTACTTTTCAACCCTTTTGTCTAAGTCATATTTTAAGTTCTTTGTGCAATAAATGTCTTAAGTAATTTTTATTATGCAAATTCATGAATATAATTCAGAAAATCAGAAATTAAAACACCACATTGTCTGAAATATATCATAATATCTTTTTCATTAGCTTTGAAATATGTTATTAATGGTATTTATTTAGTATTACTATTTTTGCCTATAATTGATATCAAAACAAAGATAACTTCATGATCAACATTTAAAGCAAAACAGGAATCATTTTAAAAACAGTTTCTGAACTCTTTTAGACCTTTTATATTAAAAAAGTCATAACACATTAAAAACATTTTTGAAAATTAAAATCTACATGAGGAAAAACACAAATATGATGAAAGAGCTATAATTTAATTGACAATAAGAAATTAACATACACTGACAAGTTTTTTCACACCTGCATAGATAAAAGGAGATGACCATTACCTGGTATTTGAACATGTCACCTGTTGAGATTATGTTTAGATCTACATTAAAATAAACAGAAAGTTGACACTTTAAATTGCTGTCCGGTTTTCAGAGGATTTTTAATGCATGTTTAGCATTAGAAACCATAGAAAATCGTCCGGTTTTCGGAATTCAGAGGTTCCGGTATTCAGAGGATTTTTTTTCAATGAACATATAGGGAGAAAATACGGGACTTTTAAAATGGTCCGGTTTTCAGAGGATTCCGGTTTTCAGAGGGTCCGGTTTTCAGAGTTTTTACTGTACCTCGAAATTAATAAGGATTACAAACCCGAAATGCAATGGATGTTCTAAATTTAGAATGACTTGATGTTATTCAGTCGTTATTTGTATAACTTCTCCGTGGTACAGGGGTAACGCGCTCGCTTGGGGAGTGAGAGGTCTGGAGTTCAAATCCCAGTTGAGGAAACTTTTTTTTTTTTATTCTTTTTTAAGTAGCCATGATATGCAAGGATAAAGTGTGGCTGTCGTAAAAAATGAACATAAATGATTTATTGATGCAACTCTAGTTATGTAGAATTCCGTATGTATCAAACTCTGGTGCCTAGCAAAATGAATTATAATACATAAAAATAAACTTATACAGGAAAATACATACAGATATACAGTATGATTTAGATTGCAAAGATCAGAAAATACCACAGAACTTGCAGCCCTTTGATTCTTTATAAATATACATGCTTATAGTAAGCTCCAGGATGTTAAACAACAGTTAAAGTCGTTACAAGCTCTAATTTAGATCTTCAGGCTGTTCACATATAAATTCACCGTGGCTGAAGGGTTTTCACGCTCGCGCAGGAAGCGAGAGGCCTGGAGTTCAAATCCCAGTAAAGTCAACTCATTTTTTTTTCAAATTGTTTAAGTCAAATAAACATTGGATTGAATATCAGTGTTGCAATCAGTCTTATAGCCACAATTATAACGCTGGAAAGCATTGGTGAGACCCAAACAAATTCAGCGCCTTCTGTGCTTTGATATCAGGATAAAATTTGAAAGTTGGTCTGCCGACAGTTTACTATAACTGTACAGATGTGCAAACTGGCCTGAATCTATGATTCTGTTGGCGATGGCTAATCACTTTTACTTCCAATAAGATAAAAGTTTAAACTGAGTAAAATAATTGGATATTTTGTTTTTGTTTTTTTTAGTACAATGTGCTAAAAGTTATAATTGTTTTTCAGATGTTGCCGGTCAGTGCATCTAGTCAGATGATTACTTTCACGTTTGAGAATGGTTGTGTAGCAACAATAAGAACCAGCGGTACAGAACCTAAAATCAAGTACTACACCGAACACAAACCAGATCCTAGTCACGGGTAAGTAATGCTTAAAGTTCTTGCTCTTGTTTGAAATGATGTATCAAAGGTCTTCATCTATACTTAACGGTCAGGGAAATGATGGCCTACTGGTAAAGGTGCCTGTCTCTCAACCATTAGTAAATGTAGGTTTGACACCTACTTTTGTCACTACCATGTTTCCTTTATATGATGTAAGCAGGGCTTGAACTTAATACTAGCATTTTTGCAAAATGCCAGTAAAAATTTTCATAGAGGTAAAGAAAGTAAAGCACAAACTTTTGCTAAGTGCTTGAAATGTAAATAAGAAATTGATGTTTAAAGCAGTATGCCTTTAGATTTATGCTAATATTCATAAAAATGTATTCAAAAGTAAAATGCTGTGAAGTGAACAAAGGAAGTAATTTACACATAGCAAACATGTTGGTGTTGAGTTAAAAGGTTAAAATACATGTTGTTACCATATCAGTGAATTTATCAGATAATTTATTTTCATATTCACAGACTGGATGGGGAAGCTGCACAAAAAGAACTGGATGATATGGTGAATTGTATTATCAAATATTTCTACAAACCTGAGGACAACAATCTCACAGCTAGATCATCATAAAGTACATGTAGTCTTGAATATTGTTCTTTATCCTTTACAATGTTAATGTTTAATAATGACTTGTATATTGTATATTCTATCAGTGTTAAAGCAGGCCAGCCTGTTGGGGGGGGGGGGGGGGTAAAACCTTTTAAAGTTGTTGAGTGATCAATTTTAGCTTTGTGTTTTTGTTTTGTTTTGTTTTTTTCATACCCCCAAAACGAAGTTTGGGGGGTGGGTATATAGGAGTCACTCTGTGGTCGGTTGGTTGGTCGGTCGGTCCAGACATCTGTTGCATTTTCCTTGTCCGGAGCATAACTTTAAGACTAATGGTTGGAATTCTAAACAACTTCATACATTGATCAAGCACATTAAGAGGAAGTGCAGTGCAAGAGCTAGAGCTTAGATATTTGGCATGAAACATCTTCTAGTGAGTGTCTACCAAGATTGTTCAAATAAAAGCCCTGGGGTCAAAATTGGCCCCATCCCAGGGGGTCATTGATTTTCCCTATATGTATATAGTAAAAACTTAAAAAAATCTTCTTTTAAAGAACTCAAAGAGCTAGAGCTAAGATATTTAGCATGAAACATGTTCTAATGGGTGTCTACCAAGTTTGTTCAAATAAAAGCCCTGGGGTCAAAATTGGCTCCGCCCCAGGGGGTCATTGATTTTCCCTATATGTATATAGTAAAAACTTAAAAAATCTTCTTTTAAAGAACTCAAAGAGCTAGAGCTAAGATATTTAGCATGAAACATGTTCTAATGGATGTCTACCAAGTTTGTTCAAATAAAAGCCCAGGGGTCAAAATTGGCCCCGCCTCAGGGGGTCATTGATTTTCTCTATATGTATATAGTGAAAACTTAAAAAATCTTCTTTAACTATATGTGTAAAGTAAAAACTTAAAAAAAAATCTTCTTTTAAAAAGCCCAATGAGCTAGAGCTTAGATGTTTAGCATGAAACATCTTCTTATGGGTGTCTACCAAGTTTGTGCAAATAAAAGCCCTTGGGTTAAATTGGCCCTGCAACGTTGGGGTGGGGGTTGGGGGGGGGGCCTATATACAGGTGAGCGCCCTCAGGGCCATCATGGCCCTCTTGTTTGTCTTTTTATGGCTCCATTTTAAGGTGGGTGTTGAGGTAGATTTGTCATATTTTAATCGGGGAGGGGGGGGGGTATAAGGAATGTGGGATCTATTTTAAGATTAAAGTCCATTCATGTGTTGAATGAGAAAGTTTATATTGTTTATATGAAACAAATAAGTAAATAAATTCAAAATACCTCAACATGGGGCATTCCCCTTGGTGAAATTGAGTTACTATAAATAAAATATAATACAGTACCTCACTAGGCAAATAGGGTATCTTTTACAGATAAGCATTATTTATTACTCATTTTCTTTCTAAATAGGCATTACTGAAGAACATTTTTGGCCTAGTCGTTCTTGTGTTGATTGTTGAATGTTAACATACTTCAAACATGTTCCTGTACATTTAATGCTACAATGCTATTTTGACTGGAGCATTTAAATGCTATAATATTGTTGCTATCATACAAAAATGCAATTTTTAACATAAAAAAGGGTACATATATGAACTTTGATATGTAAAAATTGGTGAACATTGTGAATGAAGAATTTTCAATTTGGTGACTGTGAATTATAACATTGCAACAACATGAAGCCAAATAACAAAAACACTGTTTTGTTCAGTAACAGTTATCACTGTATTCTGTCGAGTCATAATAACATATAATGCTGAGTTACAGTTATCAATGTGTTTTTCAATAGAAACAATTAACTTTGTATTCTGTGAAGTAACAATTATTATCAATGTATCCAGTTGAGTAATACTTATCAATGTATCATTTTGAGTATCATTGTATCCTGTTGAGTAAAAAATATCATTTTTATCTTGTTAAGTATTTATTAATGTATCCCATTGAGTGAAAATTATAAATGTATCCTGTTGAATTACAATAACCATTTTATCTTGTTTAGAAAAAATTACCAATGTATCCTGTTGCATAAAAACTATTAATGACTACTGTCAAGTAACAATAACTCTTTATGTCATGTGATAACCTGCTGTGAAATTTATTTTAGGTGCCTGGTTTTCTGTATATATCGGTTACTTTCATTGCTTACTGTTTGAAATATAAATCACACCCCACTTATGGAATGAAATGCTTCAGCCTTGACAAGATAATATGAGCTGCGTCACGACAAAACCAACATAATGCGTTTGCAACCAGCATGGATCCAGACCAGCCTGCGCATTGGCGCAGTCTGATCAGGATCCATACTGTTCGCTTACCAACTCTATTACAAGTAGAGAAACTGATAGCGAACAGCGTGGATCCTGATCAGACTGCGTGGATGCGCAGGCTGGTCTGGATCCATGCTGGTCGCAAACGCATTACCTTGGTTTTGTTGTGACACGGCTCATATCAACTTCAGGTATAGGTTCAGTTTACATTTTATGCCTACAGTGGCCATTCCGTCTATCACAATTATTTGGATGTACCGGTAATGTTTATGTACAGTCTTCAATACATGCTGTCAAGTTACAATAATGTGTTCTGTCCACTGTAAAATTTCTTTTTAAAACTTTTTTTTCATGTTGTTGTTGTTTATGTTTTTGTTTTTGAATATCCAAGAATAGCAAGAGTTATATTCCAAGCATTGTAATAGATTTATTTGAATGGTAAACAGAAAAGCCAATAACGCTGTTCCAGATTTTGTTTTTTATAGAGTATTTAAAATGTGAAGGTGTGTTTTTATTATTGTTATCTTGTTGATATTTAAAATTATGTAAATGTATATAGTAAATGTACTCAAAAAATGATGTAAATATCACATTTCTATAAACAGCCATTCCATTGGTGTTTGTAAATGAGCCGCGTCATGACAAAACCAACGTAATGCGTTTGAGACCAGCATGTAGAGAAACTGATAGCGAACAGCATGGATCCTGATCAGACTGCGCGGCGGCGCAGGCTGGTCTGGATCTATGCTGGTCGCAAACGCACTATGTTGGTTTTGTCGTGACGCGGCTCAAAATGTTTATTATGCATTCTAAGATATACTGTTGAAATACTGCTATGCGGAAAAATTGAAAATATCAATTCAATTTGACTTTTGTTTTAAGTCGTTGAATTTTTAAACGTTTTCATTAGGCAGCTGTGTTAATTGTTAACATATATAATGCAAGATTTTAGAAAAAAAATTAAGAGAATTGTTTTGAACACTTTTGATGTATATATTACTAGTTACAAGGCAAAATTACTGCTGTTTGAAGTTATTATTTCTGAAACGTGTTCAGACTTTCTCTTAGATCGCAGTGTTCACAAGAATCTCTTTGGTCGTACTGTTCACAAAAGCCTGTTTTTTGTTGGGTTTGTTTTCATCTTTGACCCATGTTGTTGTTCTTGTCATGTTATAATAAATACATTTTGTGTACAGATTTTAAATTGTAAATTTTTATAAGATTAAAGAATTATTACAAGTTTCCCTCAGCATTCTAGTGACAAATATCATAGTCTTCGTTGTTTTATATTCTACATGTTCTTTATGCACTTTTATGTTATGTCTTATTTTATTGGCTAGAAAATAAATCAATAAAAAGTATGTGTTTTAGTTATACATAATAAATGTGTACCAAAGTACAATTTCATGAAGAACTGTGCAAGCATATATAAACCCATACCTTTCTGGAACCAAAATTGATTAATCTTTCAGTCCTCGAATGTAGCCAGTCACACAAATCTCAAAAAAAAATATTTCCTGTTACATCAAAAAACTTGATAGTGATGGCATGGCCGAGTGGTTAACATGTTTAACTAGTAATCTACTGAATCCCTAGCTGCATGGGTTCAAACCCAGTCAGGGGCAAGTCGTTGCTTCCTTGAGCAAGAAACTAAACTAATTGCTCAGTACTAGTTGGTTCCAGGAACAAATTTGAAGTGTGTCTATAATCTTAAAGCTTCGTACACAATCAAACTAAAATAAATTCTGTATAAACCAAAGGCCCAACTAGGTGGCTTTGTTTACTTTTACTATTACAGTTTAACAGTCCCTGCCTGTACCTTTTCTATTTGGAACAATTCTGATCACTTGTTTTTCAAGATATTGATGACAAAAAGAGTATAAAATATAACAAAAACAAAACCTGGTCATTGTATATTATTTTTATTATCAATAAACATGAAAAATATGAAAGAAAATATGATATCTGATGTCATGGTAACCCATGTGAATAAAAACGTGACTGTATTTTGAGGGCATAATTACATAGCGACACAATTTTATTCGTAAATTCAACAAATCAAAAATCTAACCTTCCATTTCCTCATAAACAGAAGTGATAGAACAGTTCTGTTGTTAACATAAGTATATACATGTAATTATATTTATAATAAAGCAACCTTTTTAAGTCAATAATTATATTTTTAATAAAGCAACCTTAAGTGTAAAATTATATTTGTATGAAAGCAACCTTTAGTACAAAATCTATTTCTAGCATTTATTAATGTTATCTATATATCACTTATCAGGCATTTTTATATGAATTAAGTCTCACATGTACATCACAAAATGCATTATCGGACCCGTAAACAATTTGATTGTTCATTGTAGACAATATAATTTTAAATGATAAATTTTTCTTCCTGATGTCCCTTAAAGTGACAATGGGTAGGTCCAAACATGACGCATGGACAAGTCTATTTTCAACATTTATGGGAAATGAAGATGTACAGAATTCGTTACTTAGATAATTATATGTAATCTCTATGCAAATTAAAAAAAAAATTAATTTTTCCCAGAGCTGTGATCAAGCTGAAGAAGACCAGGACAGGACACAATAAATTCATATTACATTTTAACAAATTTTGAGTTACACATAAATGAAGTTTACAGTACACTATCTTGTACACTATAAAGCAAGTCATTACAAACAAGGTGTTGCAAAATATCATTAAAATAAGGTGTTTTAAAGTGGCTGTATTTTTTAGGGACTGTGCATTTAATGCCTTAAACTTCACCAAACAACAATGAACATAAAAAATACATTGTCCAACCATTTTATCTAGACTGAACTTTAAAAATCATTAAATTTTAAACAATGTTGCAATAACCTTGCTCAATACAAGCCAAGATATATACAAGCCAATTTCAATAAATCAGTCTAAATATTTTATATGTACACCTTATTATATTCAAAGTTCCGTGATTAATAAATACATTAAATAATGATTGTATCATAGTTTGGAGACCTTTCTGTTGAAAATGTGTCAGGGTTAAATCGTTTACATATACATGCACAGTGCGTTAACTGGAGTGCGGGTATTAGTTACCCGCACTCCAGAGCATGCCCATTGATTGGCTCATTTTTGCTGGGGTTTACATATTGTGACGGCAGTGAAAGTGAAATCGACAGAAATGTCATATTTAGATGCTCGTTCATTGGTTCATTTTTGCCGGGGTTTCATATTGTAACAACAGGGAACGTGTTTTTATGTTTGAGTATGATACAAAAGAGAAAGAACACCAAAACACTCGGTAATCTGATTAATACTCAGGGGCTACGCCCCCTCGTACAAATCAGATATCCTCGTGTTTCGGTGCTCTTTCTATTACATAAAACATTTAAAGCCCATGCATTATAAAGAATACCTGTACAAATATGCACTATGAAATGTAACACTTTGGAAGCATCAATGTTATTATTAAATATATCCTTATTTAAAAATGTACTTTAAAAACATGTACAACTAATATCTTTATATATCACAGAATGAATTATAAGTAACTCAAATATCTTGCATTCACAACATTAAAAAAATTACTAAAATAAAATCAAATATT